ACGAAGTAGATTTAGTAATGATTAGCATAGTATGGTCGGCTTCCAGTCGTTATAATAGTAACTTATTTTATTTCAGATTATATCTCTATATGTAGTTTTAGATAAAAGTATCTATTTGACGACTCATTGGTCTAGTTACCTCTTGTTCTTTGTAACATTTTTTTTTATTATTTTGCCTAGTACTAACACACTTCTAGGGGAGGTAATTGGTGAATTCTTTAAAACTATGTAGGTATGTAGTATTCGTTATTAACACAACAAAACTATACTGAGTCATGAACAGAAGTTATGCATCATTTAAACATTTATTTTCTTAGTAAATGATATCGTAAAAAAACATCGCGATATCGATATCTGAGAATAAAAATCTTCAATGTGTGTGAAGTAATCTAAAAAGGAACGGCTCGACCGATTCTTATGAAATTTGTTATGCGTATTCATTAAGTCTGAGAATCGGCTTCTATCTATCTTTCAAAACCCTAAGTGATACGGGGTGTCATATTAAAAAAAATATATTTTTTACACATTTTTTTTTGTTTATATTTTTTATGATACAGCATAAAAAATACACACAACCCTTAATTTTCACTTTCTCTACGATCAGCCCTTATTTTTATTTGTATATTAAAAACTATTAACTTGAACTCTGTGGTTAATATATAGAGAAAAATATACTGAACAACCTTAAAAAATTTCATTCCGGAAAACTGAACAATCTCTGGGGTAGTATAGCAAAATGTTCCATATTGGTATGTACTAAAAAGGTAGGCTAAGTAAAATCACATTAAGGAGAAACGAAGTTCGCGGGGGCAGCTAGTAATTATATAAAAATGAGGCTTTATCGCTTTCGACCGATTTCATCCAGGCAACACTGAAACTTGTCTTCATATGTATACTGCCTATATAATTATCAGAATAATTAAAGATTAAGTGATAATTGACCGCGCCCATGACTTAATTGGTAACGCAATCTGCTACCTGAAGACACCACAAATATTGAAAGGACTGCTTTAACTTGATCACTTAGAATACATGTAAGTGAAATTTATTTTCCCATAAACCCTTGTGTGTGTTACACATAGTTATTGATAAATATATTATTGAAAGGTAAACCTAATACATCCTAGGTATAAGGATCAACGCACGTTAAACATATTCTAGCGCAGTACCATGAAAATGTAATTCTAAGACTTCCCTCACACCAAGTCAATATTTGTTTAATTATAAAACATCTGTGAACCCCAAAGACATTAAAAACGACATGATCCCCCTAATTTCATTTTTAAATAACTTCTTCAGAAAGACATTATTCTTTGCGAAAGGGATTTTGAAAAGAAATTGACGTCCACAAGCCGTCCGCCATTAACTGGAGCGAAAAACTTACGGGAGTATTTGGGGTCGCGGCTCACTAAGCTTTCATTTTAAAACTCCTCGAAATCGTGACGAATAATCGACCACATTCTTCTTTTATTCTAGTATATTTTTCTTCGTTGTTATAATTAGAATTTTTGTCGCCTAGATATATGTATATATAACAAAAAATTTAATATAGCCATTACAAATCATATTTATTTATTTATTTATTAACGCTTCGTAGCAATACATTACAATTAAAGTTAAATAAAAAGGAGGGCAACTGGCGGCCTTATCGCTTTCAAGCCATCTCTTCCGGGCAACCATTGTGAGGAAAAAAATTAGATAAGGTGAGTGCAAGAAGTGCATAAGAAAAAGTTACTTAGACAAAACTAATGTAACAAAACAAAGTCATATGTAAACAATGAAAGGGAGAAAAACTTAAAAAAAAACACTTTACTTTTGTCCAAAATATTTTTTTACGTATTTTTATCTGACTGTAAGCTGAACTTTACAGCAGGAAAGGGAATTCTTTACCAAGTTTTTAATAGAGTCGGCCGCAACCCTTTTATTGTGATTAGTTATTGTATTTGCGAGGGGCAACACCGAACATTGACAATTTTATCTTTTAATGGATATTAAAAATTGAAATTTGACGGATATTCTTTTTGACAAAGAATCTCAACCGAGATTTTGAGAGTTAATTTTTTTGATTTGACATTGTCTCACTTAGTTTGGTAGGATTTTAATGAGAATTTGAACATGTTTCGGACAATAATTAGAAGTGTTTACCTAGAATGTATACGTAGTTTTGCGGCGTAAAAACCCAATAACTGTAATTTTAGACTTATTATTTTATTTAAAGTAAATTAAGTTATGACTGGGTTAGCACTTAGAACTTATGACGTTGGAACTTAATTTTATAAATATAATAAAATAAACATAATAAATGATTTCTAAGATGTCATGTGGAACATGGAGTAATGGTTGCAGCTCCTTACAAACGTTGTGTAAAAAAAAACATGGCGATTAAAAAGAGTGGCGGAGAGTTTATTGCCAGTTCTTCTCTACCGTTCTACGCCCTTGATTTAAGAACTTCTAACTAACTAACTTTACATTTAGTGCCAAATGTAAAGTTAGAAGAATTTCATATACATTTCTTCTTGACGTTCATAAGTGTACATTGTGTAATACCTATAAAGGTCGGTTATCGAAAGCTGGCGGGTTCACAGTACTCACACTAATGCAATTTCACATACAGTATGTTTCAAAATATGATTTTTTTGCAAAGCTATATATTTTAGTCCACTCTGGTTTTAGTAAGGTTGGGTGGGTTGTAAATAAATAAAAATGTGTCAAATACATATAAATATTAGGTGCATACGAGGGTGGATCCAAAAGTTCTAAGCCAGACCAAGAACGTGAAAGAGTAGTTCGTGTAAATAATTTTTCATTTTTCGACATACGCTCCATCTAGCCATGACTATGTTGGTCGACAAAACGACCTTAGCCTTTTTCGGAGTAGGTGATCCAGATATTTTCCATTGTTTGGACTGTTGCTTTGATTCAGGAGTATGGTGGTGAACCCAGCTTTCAACAAATAAAAAAAAAACAAATCCGCTTTCTGCATCTGATGTCAAATGAAATATAACATTTAACATATAAACTGTTTTTATTAAGATGCTTAAAATAATTAAAAACATTGTGCACCATTTCACTAGATTGCCCTGGTAATGTTTGAAAAAAGATCAACATGTATAGTAAAGATCAACATAAACAGTAGCAAAAGCAAAACAATAACTGTCTCTTTTATACTCATAAGCTTGACCGAGCGCGAGAGAGACGGACAGTCTTTTCATGATGTATTTGTGATTGTATTTCAGTTTGACATCTCGCCTCGCGCTTATTCACAGACACTACACAAGCACAAAGTGTAAATGTGTTGAAGCCGCCAGCATTAAATAACATACCTATACTTATATGATTAAATGATTTTTGACTTTTGACAACAGAGTACAAAGTATTTAAAACTATGCCAATTTAAACAAACATTAATCAATGCCTTTATTACTAATAAGTATCATTCTATAATAATATAATAACACTGGTAACGAAGAAAGCATGTCTATATAACCAATATAAAAAAATAAAATAAATCATTGGCGCTAAAACCTTTTTAGGCTCAGCCTCAGATGTCTGTATATGTTTCATGAGCATGTGTCAATCTAAGAGGCGAGTATGTGATAAGCCTCCAGATACACATCGTCGTATATATTATATATTACATACAGAAATGGTTTGACAGCTGCTGAAACTAGATATTACGTAGTCGGTCCCAAAGTTCTGTCATAAATGGAAATAATGATAAAAACAAAAGTACTGATCAGTTTGTAATGAGTGATATATCAATTCTTAGTAAATTAATTAAGGAATAAAAATAGCATAAAAATATTCGAAATAACCTCCCTCATTTTTAATACAGGCCCTTAAGCGTCGCGGCCAGTCGTCTATCGCAGCACGCACCATATTCGTGTCCATTTCAGTCACTGGTTTTTTTAAAGATGACTTCAGATTCTCCAAATTTTCATGAGGTTTATCACAGACCTTCCTCTCTAAGCCCTGTCATAATTTCTGGTCCAAAGGATTAAGGTCCGGACTGGAGGAAGGCCAATCCTCATGTCTAATTAAGACGATGTTTTGACGCTCAAACCAGGCTTTAGTGGTCTTGGCTTTGTATGCAGACGCAGAGTCCTGCTGGAACACGAAGTGATGTCCCGCAAATAGGGTGCTGGACATGTCTTTGACAAGGCGATACAAAACCGTCTCTTGGTACACTGTAGCACTGGTTTTGACCCCTTTTCGAAAAAATTAACCTCAGTTAGCCCGTAATAGGACACTCCCAACCAAACCATTACTGATGATGGATGATGTCCATGTTGCACCCTTGGAACTTTATTTTCAGCTTCTTCAGAACTCTTAGCGTACACTGTATAATTCTGTTTATTGTACTTCTCTTCAATATCGAAAAATTTTTCGTCCGTAAAGAGGATATCACGGTGTCGGTTTTTCGCGTACCGCTTAAACAACACCCGCGATCTCTTAAGCCTTATTGCTTTTAGACGAGCATTAAGTAAGTGCCCACTCTTTTTTGTATGCTCGTAGACCAAGATCTTCATTTAAAACCTTTTTTACTGTTTTCCTACTGACACCCATCTGCAAATCCATCAACTTCTGTTTTCGGACAGGATTTCTTACTATCCGCGCCTTGATAGCTTTGATTACTGCTGGTGTTCTTGCGGAGCGTGGCCAGCCAGTTCTTTTCTTGTCCTCAACACTGGAGACTTCAAGGTACCTATCAATAGTACCGTACACAAAACTAAGCGTTATATTCAAATTTTTGAGCAACTTGAAAATGGTACTCGGCGAGTGTCCACAGCGGTGCAACGCAATAACAACTATTCGGTTTACTTTCAATGTCCACTCCATCGTGAAAAATTACGGAAAGTTATTGTTTTTTGTTTTAAAACAATAATCAAACATTCCAAAATAGAATGCAATAATTTTTTTATAAAATCCTGCTCGAAATGTGGAAATAATGTGCTAGTGACAGAACTTTGGGACCAACTACGTAGTTATTAGTTTGGCGTTCATTGCGGGCCAAACTTCGCACCATAAATATTCATCTAAAACCCGTATTGAAAATCTAAATTCAAATTATATTACATAAAGACTAAGACAATACAAATATAACCTAAATCCACGTTGTATGTAACCAATGCGAGTCTAAGCACATTTTGAAACATAGAAACTCAAATAAAAAACAAATTAACCAATGAATAGCAGTTGGAGGTGAAAGGGAGCCATTACGCGATGAAAAGAGGAGTCGTCGCTATGATGGAATATATTAGTAGCATTTGATATAGTCGGAATGAGTTTTCTTGTTCCGAGAGTGTTTTATTAGCGGAGTGGGTTTTCACTTGTCAATTAATATTCGTATAGAAGATGCATTAAGGCCCTATCCCAGCACGAATTGCTGTGTCAGTGGCTCGGGGTGGACTGCGGTGCGCAGTGGAAACAATTAGTTATGTAAAACATTAAATTAATGTAATTTTGATAATTTTTTTTCTGAAATGGATTCATGATAAAATATATGGTGTAAATTTCAAAATCATGTTTTACATACATTTTCGTCATAAAATGAATTCTAAGTGTCAAAAATTAATATTTAATTGGCTATGTTTGGTTTTTTTTTCTATTGAGCGAAGTGATTTAAATCGTGTATCGATCTTTCAAAATGGATACATAAACTACTCAACTCCACCATATATTTTTTCCATTCGCCCTACTTCAAGAAACGATGACGAAAAACGGAAAGAAACAATGTACTTTTTTGGAGTTTGGCGACCGGATAGGTCCTTAAAAAACGAATAGTGATCGCATCTAATAAACTAGAAGGAAACTACGCTGGTTGCTTGAGAGACCGCTATTGCCTACAGGGGGCACACATTCTCGAAGAGGGGCTCAAGTCAAATTGTTTCGGAAATACTTCAGTGGGCAGCCGATTTCATATACTGGCAAAAACTTCTCTAATTACGTTGTGGAACGACGGACGTCGAGGTGATACGGGTGGAATTTGTATAAATATGTATAAAATTTCGTTAATACATATTTTTATTTATTATTATTGTTATTTTTTCTGTAGATTTTACTTTATTTTATAGTTACGTGTTATTTTGAGTTTTTTTTTTTGTTAATTATTTATGCACTTTTTGTACTCTACCCTCTGCAGATGTTTCTTTTTTATTGTTCCACCTTATTACTTTTGTAACCTGCTTTTTTATATGTATGTTTTTGTTATGATAATAAAGTATAAATAAAAAAATAAATATGATAGTATTGTCTTTGATTAACATAACCTTTACACATTTAAAGAAAAACGCTTTTTACCGGATTAAAGTTATGTTTATTATTATAAATTTACAACTATTTGACATAATTTTAAATTTATCCGACGTTTCGCGTGCTTTACAGCGTGCGTGGTCACGGTGACGGTGTTTAAAATTATGTCAAATAGTTGTAAATTTATAATAATAAACATAACTTTAATCCGGTAAAAAGCGTTTTTCTTTAAATAAATATGATATTTTTTTACCTTTTAGACAATCTCCGTCTGTTGCCTAACATTATCAATATCTGGCAATGATAATGATTGTGATGTAAATTTTTGAAGTGAAACTTCTTTAGGCGCATGAGGGTAAAATTTATAATAATATTAGCGTCACGAAGATGTGCAGCGATTTTTGTCGAAGAAAAGGGAGAGAGCGATTTAGAGAGTGAGAAGGGGGAATTACCTTATCGATTTTCTATTTTTAAAATTAAAATTTTGTAAAGAGAATTTATGAAATATTAGTAGGTATTTTATATTTTATGCAAAATAATTTGTATAAATGTGAACTAGACTTAAAAAGTAGTTTTCCAAAGAAGTTTCACCTCTGACATGTGTATTATTATATACTACATTTAAGTAAAATACTTTTTATAGAACATTGTTACCCTAGTAGCTTTAGCCTGTGACTCACATTCCTGAGTTCGTAGGTTCGAGCCCCAGCTGTGCACTAATAGGCTTTCTTTGTGCGCATTTAACACTCTCTCGTACGATGAAGTAAAACATCGTGAGGAAATGCATATCTTGTACATATCTTGACATTTTGTCGACATGTGTCAAACACAGAAGATTCATCACCTACTTTCCCATTGGAAATTATCAGGGGATAGATACTCAAATCTGAGGCCCAGACTTAAAAGGTTGTAGCGCCATTGGTATACTAGCTGGCCGCGACTTCGTCTGCGCAGTATTAAAATAATATATGTCCGAATGATGTAGCGTGAAAGACATATTTTATCTACTTTAAATACCAGAAGAGATAAAAGTATCTATTTTCATTTTGGAATCAATTTATTACTACCAAATGTGCATTTGAAATAAATTATATATTTATTATCGTAATTTTTTATTGGAGTTATGGTTCACTATTTTGGCTTTAATGACTTACACGTTAGACATAGATATATACTGTGGTGGGCTTTTTTGTAGAACTATTTAACATAAACAGTTCCATCATACATTACATATGAGTAACTCTAGCGGTTTGGACAGCGCACGCCAGAATAGCTCGCAGACAATTCACACAATATCTTTATACATTGTAGCCTATATGTTATTCTAATGTATAAGCTATATTATTGTAAAGTTTCATTAAAATCCATTTAGTAGCTTTTACGTGAAGAATAACAAACATCCATCCATACTTACAAACTTTCGCGTTTATAATAGTAGGATTTATATTATAACTAGCAGACTAGGCCAAGCGTTGCTATGGCTAAGGTTTTATAGAAGTAAACTATTCAAGGGAAACAGTAGGAGAACACCAGTCATGGGGACCACCATGCTTTTTGGTATGCCATTAAACTGTAGCTTATGTGAAACGTTGGTACTTTCAACACAGCGCCATCTGTTAGAATCGTGACTATTAAATAAGAAACAAATATTTTGCAATAAAATAATATTGCGAGTATAAATTGAAAATGTAAGCTATCCTGTCTTTTAAGTTGGATCAAACTGCACACGGTGAGCAAATTTGATTGATATCGGTTCAGTAGTTTAGGAGTCCATAGCGGACAAACAACGTGACGCGTAATTTATATATATTAAGATTACCTGAGGTGTTGATTTTTCTATAGCCTTCGGTTGTAACCTTTGCAAATGATTTGGAAGTTTTACTTCAGCTTTAGGTTTCTCTTTTCTCGTGCTCTTCGATTCTTCAGTCTTCTTACAATTTCTTGTCATCTGTGTAAAAAATGTAACATTAAAAGCATAGTTCGTGGGTTCGAATATCGGCTGTGCCCCAATGACTGGACTGACAGTATGCGATGAAGGTGAAGATAAATGACAAAACCGAGCAAACAGGAATCGACAAAATGTGTCTGCCCCATGCCCCATCGAGGGGTCAAGGGCGTATTAGGCTGCTGCCTCGAATTTTGCGGGCAGCGGGGCGGTAGGCGGCGGCGCGGGAGCGGCAGGATCTTATGCGTAAAATCAATGCGGTTCTCGAAAACAGCGGCGTGGCAGCGGCACGAGGGCGGGTAACGAGAGGTGCAATCGCCCGCTCCCGCGCCGCAGCCGCCGCCGCCCCGCTGCCCGCAAAATTCGACGCAGCAGCCTAAAGCATTGTCACATCTCTGGATAGCGTTACTTTTTATATTTAGATTTGAAAATTAGAGAGAGCGCTATGTGCGACTCTCTTATGCCAACAATATACTGGATAAGTTTTTGGACTGATTTCCATATTCTAAAAAAACTTATCTCACAATCTAGTCTTAAGCGCAATCAAATAGACATAGATATAACATTTATTACTAACGAAACACACAAAAAGAAACACACATAATAAGAATAATAATTTTAAAAAAATAACGAAAAAATTGTTTTTTAAGGAACTTGGTACATTTTAAGTGTGTAATGTATGTGTGTTATGGTTGTACCAGGCTCAGCATATATGTCTAATATGTCAAACTTCATACAGAAAAAACGTGACAGCTCTCTACACTTGATTTAAGTTAGATTGACATTCTAGAATACGGGCCTGAATCTCCCGGCTGTTTGTACGTGAAACTTATATGTAAAAAGCTGTCAGACCATTTTTTTTATCAGGTAATTTTAAATTATAATTTGATTTGATAAGGATTGCGCTTTGAGAAACTATTGGAATACGGGCCTGTACCCTTCTTTAAATTTTTTTTATTAGCTTTAAATATCTACAATAATTATACATACCATTTGATCATTTCTTCGTATAATTTCCAGTTGTTGCTCTTGCGCAATCGCTTGACGCACTGTGGGATTTGTCTTTACGCGATCTGGGTTTTCTGATGAAAAATTATTTATTTAATGTGTGTTTCAAAAAATTATAACACACAAATAGGTCATCGTAAACAGTGGTATTAATTCATAGTTGAATTTTAATTAAATAATTTGACCAGAAATGCTTAGATACCGTTTCAAAACTAGTAAATAAAATTATAAATTTAATTTACTAAAAATACAGTATATCAAAGATGTTAAAATTACAATTAAGCACTTAAAATATTACCATATATAATAATATATACCCATAAATGCAACCCGATGTACGTCTGGCTCAAGTACGAACGCGTACAATCCTTCAGGTGTACGTTGTTGTACGTACTGCAGCCCGTAGTCGCACATTGCGCCCGCGCATATCGCTACCGATTTCTTTTCGTTTTCACTACAGAGCTATAACAATAGATTTTTTTTTATTTCCAACACACAATCATATTACTTTGATTTTGTTCCCTTTGGAGTAGAGCTTCTGGCCGTAGGGTTCAATAATTAAAGATTTAAGTTAGCGTCTGGTAGATAGTACCGGAGGCCCTAGAGCTGGTGCTTTCCTCGCTCAACGAGTAAGTATAAGAATACAGCAAGGAAATACCAGCATTAAAGATACACTGCCAAAGGGACCAAACTTTTTAAATTAGGTTTAAATTTCTGTTTATCAATGTATAATAATGTTTATTATTAGATTTAAAATGGCATAGTATTATTATAAATAATGAAAAAAGAATTGAAAGATTTAAGTCCAAATATACATTTCAAATACGCATTTTAATAAGATCAAAAATTATGGTTTTGCAACCATTTCATCCTGCTACACAAGTTTAGAATAAATCATAATAATTTAAAAAAAAGTATTAAAGATGATTTCGGCAGGTTGAAACGAGAAAAATCTTTCGTGCAACTACATAATGGCCCTCACAGATGGAGACTCCGTTGCAGTATTTATTTTATATAATAGGCAAAGGCGCCTAAGGGCCGGCCAAGTGCAGTCATCATGGACACTTATTTTAGTGGGTACGTTGCCGGCTTTTGAGGTAAGAGTACGCCCTTTTTAAACAATTAGAGGCAAGACAGAGGCAGAGTGGGGGTTCACAGTTCGCTAGTTCTCAAAAAAAAGTCTTGTGAAAAAATATTTAGCGTACCTGTATATTCGCTGATCGCAATTGTGGCGACAACAAATACGGCAAAAGAGGTATGACGTCCAGTAAGAGAGTTTTTCTCCCGATCAGTACAGATGGAACACTTCCCCGCCATACTGAGCTCACTATACTTTCGAGTTCAGCCTTTTTCCGGAACATCTGGAAGGATGAGACAAGGGATTATACCTTAACGCGTAATAAGGATGCACTTCGTTCCACGTATTCCCGTTAGGTGATAGAAGTGACTATTTGTGATAACTTTAACCCCCTTTTTATCGTTTTGCGTCTCGAATTTATTAATTTGCACCGAAGACTTATTTTAATATATTAATATAGAAATAACACACAAAATTTTATGCAGTCCGTTAAAAGACAGTCGCATTCATTTTATAGAACTGGGGTTAAGCGGACAAGAGAACCGATAATACAAATAACCAAAAATTATTAAACACCCCCCAAATGTAACGCGCCGTAACGTTTTTCTGTACCCAATAGTAAAACGTTTCGTGACCACCAAAGTGGCTCTTTATACCTAAAAGTGGTGTTAAGTACTTCCAGTACGTCGTCGTCGAAAATAATATTAACAATAACGCGTAATTCAATCCCCGCCCCGCATCGTAACGTTTTACAATAGGAACCCTCCCCCCCCAAATTCGTTACGTAATACGTGAACGCTCCCTAAAGAATGTCCGATATATGTTTTTTATCTTTATGAAATACATATATCATCATCGGAGATCGAGGAAGAATACGAAATTCCACCCTGTATTTCGCCCCGATGCAAAATAGTTCGTCTAGTGTGAATTTTTCTAACTACATTATTTTTGTATATCTATATAGAATATTAGGCTGTTCTATCACATGTCGCGTTACTTATGGCATATTTAATTATGAACCAATAAACTATTTTAGCTTTTTAAATTTATACATATCCTGTTTTAAATTCGAACAATTAGCAAAATAGTTCGTCTAATTGTTAATCGATGCAAAAGAGTTCGTCTATCGGTGAGTTAAATAAGATTATTCCTTCTTTGTACAATTATGTTGCTTAATTTAAATTTGTAAAAGTATATGTATCACCTCGACGTCCATCGCTCCACAACTGAGCGTTTTTCAAGGCAGTTTTTGCCGTGCACAACCGACTGAAGTACTTCCGAACCAGTTTCACTTGTACCAATTCTTAAAAGGCCGGCAACGCACTTCCGAGCTTTCTGGCAATGTGTCTATGGGCGGCGGTATCACTTAACGTCAGATGACCCTCCTGTCCGTTATATAAAAAAGTCAAACTGACCAGTTTAAAACTAGTTTTTACATACTTACATCTTGCGCCTGCAAAGGAAACTTGACCCTAAAAGGCTGCCGTGACGCGAGCACAGTATGACATCTCGATAAACAGTAGGGCAACAATCCGTACAACGAATAATTCTGATTTCTCAAAATCCACGCGTATACTAAATCGTATAGACGAAGCCACGACGTCGTCTCACAGGCGATGTGTAATCGTGCATCTACCCTCGCCGATAAATAATTTTCGAATATACCCTCAGCTAATCTAAAATAAATTTAAGTTAATTGATAAGTATGTTCATATAAAAAATATTTCTATGTTTTTAATGCTTTTAATGCTTTTAAATTTTTGACGTTAGCGATAAAAATATACAAAATTACAGCGTTTATTATTTAAAAGAACACACTTATGATTAAATGGCACAAGGCAAAGAACTCAGAACTCTCAACCCTGAGATCATAAGTTATTGGTCCTTCGAGCCGGATTTAAAATACCATAGAGATACAGTAAATTTAAATTATATGTTATTTTTTTAGGTGATTACAATAAAATGAATACCTATCATATTCACCAGCGGCCTGTATTATCTTAAGAGCTGCATTCGGGTCTTTGTCGTTGATTGCGAATATTGTCTGGAGCGCTTGCATCATTGTCTTATTGCAGTCTTTCATACCGAACGATGTGTTTTCTATATCGTCTATGTTTAACTGAAAAATATAAAATCGATGGAATTAAAAAGTGAGTTTATACAAAACACTTTTTTACCAGATTGAAGTTATGTATTATTATAAATTTAAACACTGTAAAGCAAGCGAAACGTCGGTTAAATTTAAAATTATGTAAAACAATTGTAAATTTATAATAATACATAACTTCAATCCGGTAAAAAAGTGTTTTCTTGAAATGTGTAAAGGTTATGTCAATAAAAGACAATACTAAGTGAGTTTATATAATCTCATTCGGTAATATTCTAATTATGAAACGAAATACAGATATTTTATTTACATACTTCATTAAGAAAATTAAAAAAATAAATTAAAGCATTATTCTCCTAACAAAACAATGCTTTAAAATAAGTTTTTAATTATTAAAGTACAATGTGTCCCGACCAAGGAGGTTTCAATTCAATTTAAGTACACATTATCTGTGGAGAGCGCTGGTTCCGACCCAATAGACCAATAACAGACTTATAATAAATAAATTGTTTCTTTTATCTTGCATTTTATTTAATGTAGCTACCTATAGCCTTGAGATAAAATAAAGTAGTGTATGCAACTGCTTATAATTTAAACTACACTCACGTTTTAATACCCTCTATTATATGACATTTGCATAAACTACTATTTTGACTTAAGTGTTTTTTATATAACAGGGGGAAAACGGGCAGGAGGTTCATCTGATATTAAGTCATGTCATGTGAGTGCTAATAGACACATTGCCAGAAGGCTCGCACGTGCGTTTCCGGCCTTATAAGAACTGGTTATATGATGCGAGAACTAAAATCAATCTTTACCTTAAGAACCGTACGTAAAATTATATACCTAATGTATATAATGTAATGTATAGAACAACAAAATTATCTATAGAAAACGTAAATTCTTACTTAAACGTTGCAATGCTTAGTTAAGCAAGCAAGTGTTGCATGACCTGTCAAAACTGACATTATAGAGTTGATGAAACAATCGTAAACTCTGTGTCACTCGCCTCACGTAATTTATTTAAATTTAAGCTTTATAAGAGGAAATACTTACAGGTTTTCCTCTCGCTCTACAAAAACTAAGCACGTGTAACGCACTGCGCACGTCGCCCTGCGCACGCGCAGCCAACGCGGTTAACAGCCGCGGATTGATCGTTATGTGCTCACGCTTCGCCACTACTCCTAGACGAGCGGACAGACGAGCCTGGCTCACCCCATTCACTGTTACTATCAGTGCTATTGGTCTGTGGAGTTATTTTATTTATAATCTATATATAATATAACAAATGGGTTTATTAAAAAAATCACACACAAATTGACTTTTGAGTGCCTACTACATATACATATAAACAACAACATATACAAACATTTCAATATGACTAATTAAAAGGGTTAGTAAAAACCTGGGTATGATGTGTAACGTAGCAAAATCTGCACAAAAGACTGATCTTTCACCAGAACATAGATTAATTTTCGATAAAAAAAGCTTCGAAAAATTATAATATAGGAACCAAACTCGTACTGTAAGTATAATACATGTAACCACGAAATTTTACATGACAACACACTATTCATTTATTTACAGTCCGTTGCAAGAAAATAACTATATAATTAAATAAACTGGCGGCCTTATCGCTTTCGTGCGATCTCTTTCAGGCAACCACTGTGAGGAAAAAAATATTTAAATAAATGCAAAACTACATAAGGTATACATTTACTTGGGCATAAATAGTGGAAAAAAAAACAACGCAATAAAAACATATGCAGACGATGAAAAGGACAATGAAAAACAGGACACATGAATCACGATAATTTCAGTTAGGGGCCGTTCAAGTATTACGCCAGCAGATTTACTGCAATTTATCCCCCCCCCACACCTCTTGTCAGCAAAAGTAAGCAAAACCTCTCAAAAATAATAGTACGTACATGAATAAACGTATTATTTTTTTGTAGAAATCCTCGAAAATGTATTTCGTTTTCAAGCATAAACAATGTGTAAAAAAGTAAATAAAGTTAGTACGAAAGTTAGTACAAAATCGTAAAAAATTATAAATTTTGGCAGAGATAATAATTAAATTTGACTATTCACCTAAGTTGTCGCAACGAAGTCGCATATAAATCGTTACAAATAGCGATAACTGGTCGCCTTAAAGGATGACTTTTGCCTTTCTTCTTGCCTTGCTCCTTCAAACTTGCCATACACCATTTTACCAAAAGCTCCACTGTTTGCGTTGGAGCGCCATCTATTTCATCTGAAAATATTTAGTCGGGGTTATAATAACAAATATTACATGACATATTTTTTAATAACTTTATACATATGATTATGTATATTGTGTGTGTTTCCCTATTTATTCACTATAGGGGGAAAGACCGTCTTTGATTTTCTTTTTGGTGATTTCGTCAACATTAATTATTTACTTTTTCACAAATATTACCCAAACATTGTCTATTTTCGAAAACAAAATTCATTTACGAGGATTCCTATAAAAAAACTAATATGTTTATGTACTATTATGTTTGAGAGCTTTGCTTACTTCTGCTGATAAGAGGGGGAGGAGGGAGGGGGGGTAAAATGCAGTAAATGTGCTTACGTACTACTTGAATGGCCACAGAAGAGCTTCCTTTCAAAAACAGAATAGTTTTGTAAGCGTTATACAGGCTTTTTATTTGAGTTATTAAACAATACTTGTACAAAAGTAGTTAATACTAGAATAAAACCAATTAACTCTTTACCTAAAATAAGACAATTTGGTCGTTTATCAGCATCGAGGACAGATCTCATAAGAGTGGCGCTTTGAAGAGCTGTCTGAAAGGCTTCCGTACTTCGCTCGTCCGATGCATTCAGTTCCACTGGCCTGTAACCTGACAGAAGATTGTTTAAATAAAACGTCTGTAAACAGATTTATCTATTCTTAATAATGTTCTATCACTTCTAATTTTTAATTATTTATATCTGAAATACTGTGGGTTTTTCGTGGTTGTTAAATTTCATTTAAAACTTAGATGTGTGCCCACAAATTAGGGTTGTTATATTATATGCCATCCCTTCAAAAATGTACAAAAAAATAAATATCTGTTATATTATAAAATATTAATTACCATATTGTTATAAGTAATAAAATATTATTTGTTTACAAATTGTATAGGTATATTTAAATGGAAAAATATGTATATTTGTAATAACTAGTCAAAACTTAAATGTACATGTATTACATGTAAGCAGTCTACAATACACACAGGATACATAACCACCTCCAATTTGTATTCAATTATACATAGCTATTCTTTCAATATGCATTAAATAATGTTTTATTTATTTATATATCTGAATCGAAGATCTGTTTAACGTAAAATTAATTTGAAAAATATATAATGACTCTAGAAAACTCCTAAGAACATTTCAAATTAATATTACCTGCAAGTTTAGCCAGTAAGTGGGCTAAAGTGGTTTTACCCACCCCGGGAGGTCCACAAAGTAAAGCCACTTTGTGGTGTGGTCTTCCATCGTCATCCATTACTACTTCTGTCTCTTTCTTCCCTTTCCACTTATTTGTAAGTTGAAATTGTCCAGTTCGCTTTACAAATTTATTCTGCTGTTGTGGTTCTTTAACTATTACATCCTTCTTAAATACTATCTGCAATTTATACAAAATATTATATAGAAAACAGAAAAATGTATAGTCATTGTATTGAATGAACAAGAATGAAATAGATAACAAAACATTGATATTATATTTAATCTATTATTATAAAACACAAACATTTTTGTTTTAGGTTCCCAGTATCTTCTAGTAGCAATTGTGATTACAATCAATATGTAGTATTTCTACAGTACAAACCCAAGGTTGTGAGATAATATCTATGGTTATGTTGTCTATGAGAAAACAACAAACTACAAAATTGAGTACAGAAACAGGGATTGGTTTCTTCTACTGGAAGTTACAGAGAACCATCACAGAGCTTTCTCTAATTGCTTGCTGCTCATATTGCTTTAGGCGTTAGATATAACACACAAGTGGTTTTGACAGTGTTAAAGTTACATTATTATTTATTTTCACTGGCAAATGAGCTCAATGAAAAAACATGTATTTTAATTTACTTTTTCAATAATTGGCTTGACACACTATATAGTATATATATACATAAAAAACCTATTTACATATTTAACTAAATTTTACTATTTATATTTATTGTTTTAATAAACATTAAAGTGGAATGGAAACCAATTCAATTTAGCTTTTCCTCCATCACCAAATAGTCCAAATAATATTAGATAGTAAGGCTTGTATTTTAGAATATGATTGTATTTTAATTTAAAGGTTGCACAGTTCCTGGGTCATGGGGGTGCTTTAAATAATAGCTTTAATAGGTTTTTAGTTTTACTCTATGTTAACCACTCGCATATAACAATAGAATATAAGCAAAATAATGATATGTTAATTGCAATGTAACATATGAATGCAATGTAACAGTTGCAGTTAGTACTTACATCTGGCTATACTCTGGGGGCGTAACTCCGACAATTTAGGAAATCGCTAAGCAAAATGTACAGCCATGGCTCATACACAGGTATTTGATGACAATTCAATTTTATTTTTTTATACAGTTGCTCAAGATGTTCAGTATTTAGCACTTACCTTATCCCACAAATGCAGCCAATGCAATAAGGCTCTATTCACAGGTTCTTCTGAGAGAAGCTCTATGTATGAACTCGGCCTGTACTTGTCTACCCAAAGGTCAACATTCTCATTTATGGGTGTCTCGATAACATCTTCATCAATTTGATTTGACACTTGAGTTTTATTTTCTAACTGGAATTCAAAACATTTATTTTTATTAAAATTTAACAATGTAACAATATAGAAACTTGGAACACATGGAAACTTTCTTGTGTTAATTATCCATATCTAAAACTTTAATATAATAATAACCTAGTGTCTTTTATATGCAAACTGTCAGCAGAATTTATATATTTCATAATAAGTCTTGGTAATATTTTAATAATGAATAGCCAGTTCTGCTACAGAAAAATAGTTCAAATTCATAAAACAAAACATCTTTGAAAAGCTAAAAGGCTATATACAGTAAAGGATAGAAGAAACTTCAAGCTTTTGTAAATGTATGTCTGTTTACTTATACAACACAACTACAAGATTCTTTAAAAATGCTTACTAACAATTTTCCTAGCCTCTTCCCATGCATTAGCAAGAGAAGCATGTAATGATAATTCATTGGTACAATTATCCAGTGATGTATTCCAGGAATCTTCAGATTCTAGCTTTACATAAACACGATTGCCATCTGAGTTAGTTAAAGCCATAAAAGGCCAGCTGAAATTAAATATATATAGATTATAAATAGTAACAAAAAAAAAATCTTATTTAATATTGTAACTAATTTGAAGCAGTTTGTGTCTAAAATAATTATTTATATTTGTTTGAAGGTATGTTAAATAAGCTTTATAAAAAATATAATATAAACAGACTAAATCTTTTTAAATCACAATTTTTTAATAATCATATTAGTATAGATTCAAAATTTGGAAATTTAAACTAACCTAGGTATATCTAAAGACAAATTCTCTTTTACAATGTAGAATTTGGTATCTGCTTGTATTCTATTACTTGGTTCAGTTAACATTTGCCTCAATCGCCGTCCCTCTATTATCTTACTAATCAAGTCAAAATCACTTTCTTCTTCAGTTTTTTGTTTTTTGTTTGGCAATTGTAGACTTTCAAAATCAATATCTCCAATATCACCAAATAGCTCTTCTGCAGTCCTCTTATGTGATAGTCTATCATCTTGTGAAATAGTATTGTTGTCATTGTTAATAAGTACTTGGTCTGTACTAGGTATGTTTATATCTTGGTTTAATGTAACAGGAGAATTTGTTGGGGTACTAGAAAAATCAAGAGATCTTTTAGCTAGATTCATCTTTTTTCTAATTGGATTTGGATCTGCAAATATAAGGTATATTAAGCAAGTTATAATACTCAAGATGTATGATTTCATATGGATAAAAATAGTCCAAGTTAAATGAATAACTTTACAACAAATTCAGAATTTTTGGACCAAGTGTTGAAACCAAAACTAAATTGCATTTTAGGGTAATATGAGTACAATATAAAAGTTGGTTCTGATTATAAATTTTCTTGGGTTTTTACAAATGTGTGTTTTATTTACCAACATGATCTTCGACGTCTCTCATCATCTCCAATTCATCTGAGTACATAAGTTCATATTCTTCATCAGGATCAGGATATTGACTCATTTTGATATTTTACGATATCTTTATAACAGGGGATAACTTCTGCTTAAAAATGTATTTTAAATAATAAGACTAACTGAATAAACTATTTATTGAAACCTCTAATAACTCGAACAGAACACGCAACAATAAAGTTTTCGTAATTTATTAATTAATAATATTCGATATACTACAAAATGTAAGTTATTAAGTAAATATTACATTCGATAAAAATCTACATAATACAAATAAAGTAATAAACAGTTTTACGCCTTGGCGCGCCACGATAAACTATAAAGTAAAAAGTATAAACTAAAGAAGTAAAGAGTAAATACCATAGAATAAGATGATTTGAGACACGGCAATCCCACAGATAGTACGCTAAAACCATCAACCATAATATTTTTATAGTCACTGAATATAATATTATGTTTGATAATTTAAGCGGTTTACGCGGTTGGCGCTTCGACTAAAGTCATGTTGTATCCACGATCATGTAATAAATTATTAACGCTTGGCGCTCTATGCAGTGTATGTTGTTTTTACTGTGAAAGATCCGAGCGCTATGTGGGTGGTGATGGTTCATTTACTTCACTGATTGTCCCAGTTTTGCAAGTGCCAGGTGCAATCTAGAGCTCGAGACCGGCATAGGGACATCCCGGTATGGACTATCTAAGAATTCTAAGATGTTGCAAGGGTCCCGCCAGCCAGCGGGCTCCAACTCACCTAGAAAAGTCATGAGGATATTTCCGGAGTAGACTCGCCCGACAGACACTCCCCATAATTTTAACTTCTCGGCCTCAGATATGACCGATCGCGTGGTTAGTTGACTAATACTGGTCTTACAAAAAACTGTCGAAGATCTAATATTATTAATATAACTAGAAAAAAAAAAATGAAGAGAGGGAAGAAGGGGAAAAAAACAAGGGGGGGGGGGGGGGGGGGGGGGGGGGGGGGGGGGGGGGCGGGGGGGGGGGGGCCGGGGGGGGGGGGGGGGGGGGGGGGGGGGGGGGGGGCCCGGGGGGGGGGGGGGGGGGGGGGGGGGGGGGGCCGGGGGGGGGGGGGGGGGGGGGGGGGGGGGGGGGGGGGGGGGGGGGGGGGGGGGGGGGGGGGGGGGGGGGGGGGGCCCCCCCCCCCCCCCCCCAAGGGGGGGGGGGGGGGGGGACAAAGGGCCCCCCCCCCCCCGGGGGGGCCCCCCGGGGGCCCCCCCGGCCCCCCCCCCCGCCCCCCCCCCCCCCCCGGGGGGGCGGGGGGGGCCCCGGGCCCCCCCGCGGGGGGGGGGGGGGCAGGGGGGGCCCCAAAAAAGGGGGGGGGCGGGGGGGGCGCCCCCCGCCCCCCCCGGCCCCCCCCCCCCCGGGGGGGCCGGGGACCCCCGGGGGCGCCCCCCCCCCCCCCCCGGGGGGGGGGGCGCGGGGGGGGGGGGGGGCCGGCCCCCCCCCCCCCCCCCCCCCCGGGCCCCCCCCCCCCCCCCCCCCCCCCCCCCCCCCCCCCGGGGGGAAAAAAGGGGGGGGCGGCGGGGGGGGGGGGGGGGGGGGGGGGGGGGGGGGGGGGGGGGGGGGGGGGGGGGGGGGGGGGGGGGGGGGGGGGGGGGGGGGGGCCCCCCCGGGCGGGGGGGGGGGGGGGGGCGGGGCCCCCCCCCCCCCGGGCGGGGGGGGGGGGGGGGGGGGGGGGGCCCCCCCCCCGGGGCGGGCGGGGGGGGGGCCCGGGGGGGGGGGGGGCCCCCCCGGGGGGCCCCCACCCCCGGAGAGGGGGGGGGGGGGGGGGGGGGGGGGGCCCCCCCCGCCGGGGGGGGGGGGCGGGGGGGGGCCCCCCCCCCCGGGGGGGGCCCGCCCGGCCCGACCCCCCCCGCCCCGGGGGGGGGGGGGGCCCGCCCCCGCGGGGGCGGGGGGGGGGGGGGGGGGGGGCCCCCGGGCCCCGGGCCCCCCGGGGGGGGGGCCGGGGAGGGGGGGCCGGGGGGGGCCCCGGGGGGCCCGCCGGGGGGGGGGGGGGGGGGGGGGGGGGGGGGGGCGCGGGGGGCCCCCCGGGGGCCCGGGGGGGCGGGGGGGGGGGGGGGGGCCGCGGGGGGGGGGGGGGGGGGGGGGGGGGGGGGGGGGGGGGGGGGGGCGGGGGGGGGGGGGGGGGGGGGGGGGGGGGGGGGCCCCGGGGGGGGGGGGGCGCGGGGGGGGGGGCGGCGGGGGGGGGGGGGGGGGGCGGCGGGGGGGGGGGGGGGGGGGGGGGGGGGGGGGGGGGGGGGGGGGGGGGGGGGGGGGGGGGGGGGGGGGGAGGGGGGGGGGGGGGGGGGGGGGGGGGGGGGGGGGGGGGGGGGGGGGGGGGGGGGGGGGGGGGGGGGGGGGGGAAAAAAAAAAAAAACAAAAAAAAAAACCCCCCCCCAAAAAACAAAAAAAAAGGGGGGCCCGGGGGGGGGGGGGGGGGGGGGGGAAGGGGGGGGGGGGGGGGGGGGGGCCCCGGCCCCGGGGGGGCCCCCCCCGGGGCCCCCGGCCCGGGCCGCCCGGGGGGCCCGGGGGGGGGGGAAAACCCCCCCCCCCCCCGGGGGGGGGGGCCCGGGGGGCCCCCCGGGGGGGGGGGGGGGGGGGGGGGGGGGGGCCCCCCGGGGGCGGGGGGGGGCCCCGGGGGGGGGGGGGGGGGGGGGGGGGAAACCCCCGGGGGGGGGCAAGGGGGGGGGGGAAAAGGGAACCCCAAAACCCAAACCCCCCAGGCCCCCCCCCCCACCCCCCCCCCCGGGGGGGGGGGGGGGGGGGGGGGCCCCGGGGGGGCCGGGGGGGGGGGGGGCCGGGGGGGGGGGGGGGGGCCCGGCCCCCCCCCCCCCCCCCGGCCCCCCCCCCCCCGGGCGGGGGGGGGGGGGGGGGGGGGGGGGCCCCCCCCCCCCACCCCCCCCCCCCCCCCCCAAGCCCCCCCCCCCCCCCCCCAAAAAAACAAACCCAAAAAAAAAAAAAAAAAAAAAAAAAAAAAAAAAAAAAAAAGGGGGCCGGGGGGGGGGGGGGGGGGGGGGGGGGGGGGGGGGGGGGGGGGGGGCCCCCGGGGGCGCCCCCGGGGGGGGGGCCCCCCCAAAAACCCCCGGGGGGGGGGGGGGGGGGGGGGGGGGGGGGGGGGGGGGGGGGGGGGGGGGGGGGGGGGGGGGGCCCCCGGGGGGGGGGGGGGGGGGGGCCCCCCCCCCCCCCCCCCCCCCCCGGCCCCCGGGGGGGCGGGGGGGGGGGGGCCCCCGCCCCCCGCCCGGGGGGGGGGCGGGGGCCCCCGGGGGGGGGGGCCGCCGGCCCCCCCCCCCCCGGGCCCCGGGCCCCCGGGGCCCCCCCCCCCCCTCCCCCCCCCCCCCCCCCAAAAAAAAAAAAAAAAAAAAAAGAGGGGAAAAGGGGGAAGGGGGGGGGGGGGCCGGGGGGGGGGGGGGGGGGGGGGGGGGGGGGGGGGGGGGGGGGGGGGGGGGTTGGGGGGGGGGGGGAAAAAAAAGGGGGGGGGGAGAAAAAAGGAGGGGGAGGGGGGGGGAGGGGGGGGAAACAAAAAAAACAAAAAAACCCCAAAAAAAACCCAAAGGGCCCTTTTCCCCCCCCCCCCCCCCCCCCCCCCCCCCCCCCCCCCCCCCCCCCCCAAAAAAAAACCCCCCCCGCGCCGGAAAAGGGGGGGGGGGCAAGGGGCGGGGGGCGGGGGGGGGGGGCCGGGGGGGGGGGGGGGGGGGGGGGCCCCCCCGGGGGGGGCGGGGGGGGGGGGGGCGCCCCCCCCCCCCCCCCCCCCCCCCCCCCCCAAACCCCCCCCCCCCCGGCCCCCCCCCCCCCTTCCCCCCCCCCCCCCCCGCCCCCCCCCCCCCCCCCCCCCCCCCCCCCCCCCCCCCCCCCCCCCCCCCCCCCCCCCCCCCCCCCCCCCCCCCCCCCCCCCCCCCCCCCGGGGGGGGGGGGGGGGGGGGGGGGGGGGCCCCCCCCCCCCCCCCCCCCCCCCGGGGGGGGGGGGGGGGGGGGGGGGGGGGGGGGGGCCCCGCCGGGGGGGGGGCCGAGGGGGGGCGGGGGAAAAAAAAACAACCCCCCCCCCCCCCCCCCCCCCCCCCCCCCCCCCCCCCCCGGGGCGTTGGGGGGGGGGCGCCGCCGCCCCCCCCCCCCCCGGGGGGGGGGGCCCCCCCCGCCCGGGGGCCCCCCCCCCCCCCGGGGGGGGGCCGGGGGGGGGGGGGGGGGGGGCCCATGGGGGGGGGGCGCGCCCCCCCCCCCCCCGCCGCGGGGGGGGGGGGGGGGGGGGGGGGGGGGGGGCCGCGGGGGGGGGGGGCCCCCCCCCCCCCCCCCCCCCCCTCAAAAAAAAAAAAAAAAAAAACTAGCTATGCCGGCGAATTTTACTGGAATCAAATAAAAAACCTTCTGGCTGTTGACTATCTAATACGAAAATATTCTTTCTGAAATTACAAGTATTATACTTAAATACACCTTGTATATAACATAACCAATTGGTTAATAAAACAAATAATTGTATATACGAAACTTTTTTAATAATTTGGTATATTTACAGAATGGTAATAACAAATGTGAGTATGAGAAAAGAAGTTTTCACTGTACCATTTTAATTACTAACGTATTCACACTTGTAGGTGTCAACATTGCTTATTTTTTTTGTTTATTGCACTAACAGATCATTATATAGCTTAGAGCCTAGCACGAACAAAATCGAATAGCCATCGTAAAAGATATTTGTATGTAAAACTTAAATAACGCTCTGTATTTGGATATAAACAACATCGTTTTAATAGAATATGTGTTGTGACCTATACAAATACATGACGATATTATCTTACCGTTCGTGCTAAGGTCTCAGGTGTCTTAGACGAAATAATTTTGCGACAAGCGTGATCACAAACACAATAGTTAGTCTCGGCATACAACTTGGCCAGATTTCACGTGACTATTCCATATAAATTCGTCAAACCGTTAGAATTACATCTGAGAAGAAATACACAATTTTAATGGTGAGCTTAACAGACTTATATTTTATTAATTGGAATGTACAGATAATTACTTAACTATATTCGTTCGTTTCTACATATTATAAGAATTATATCTGGAAAATAATTAGAAGCGAATTGGACATTTTGGTCAAAAACCATCCTCCAAACTTTACGTATCGAACTCACTGCTCCATCTCACAGCTGCAGACTCGTAGCGGTGATTCGATCGGTAGATTACTTTGTATGCTAATCACAGCATGAAATTATTTCAAGTCGATACCCATTGAGTACACTTCAGTCAGATATCAAAACATTTAACATTGAACATTCGAAAACGTATCTGAACGCTGGAAACAATAACGACCTTTTTCCAGACAAAATGCAGAAATCTAGATTAGACTAATTCACGTTTTTGATTACTGACCTAACATTTAGTCTTAATATAGACGTGATAAACGGCTTTATCCTGAAAGATTACATGTACCAGACCATGAGTGTAGTTTATGTATCTTTATCAAATTAATAAGACGTAAACGACATCTAATATTATTATTTTGGTATTACACAAGCTTTACCAACATATGGGAAACAAAACAGGTCCTTCCCGCATATATTTCAAAGAGCACTTAGCGCTGTGGATAAGATCCAGAAACAATTTTTATAGCTAACTCCGTTACGTCAAAGCTCGCGCCAAATCTTGTTTCTGAATGTCACTTTTTTTTAGCGGTATTGCGCGGCAAAAACTACCTTAAGAAACGCTCAGTTGTGGAACGAAAGACGTCAAGTAGATACGCACGGTATTTTGTATTCTGCCTTGACCTCCGATGGTGAAACTTCATCTCTGCATCTCTACCTAGAATTCTTTTCAAGATCGTGGTTAACTTTACATTATGTCAATCGACCTATTTATTAGCTAATTTGTATTCTATTTTCAAAAAGACCAAAAGAGGTGTTTTTTTTTGTCTATGTTCAAGCTTTGCTAGTCGGCTGAAATAAATTTAATGTTACTCTCAGTACTCGATCTACTATACCTCAACTCTAAATTCTTTATAAAACTGTTATTCAATCCAGAGAGATGTAGATACCAACGAAATGTGCAGCATAATACTAATATTAACCTTATCATTACGCTAATAACAAAAAAATACACGAAACAATACATACAATCAACTACCTTACACGAACAATTATGAGTTTAACTGAGATTCTATGATTACTTAGGGTTAAAATGACTAGATGTCATTGGCACTCGGATTTTGGACAAAATTAAATTACCATTGATCAACCGTTTATTAACGTGAATAATATCGTATAGGTTTTAATAGCTCGTTTTATGTTTTAATTATGTAATTGGCTATAATTAGTTTCTAGTACGTAATTTCTATCCGTCCTAAAATCCTTCTATGTTGTTAGACTATTTGAGTATCCCGAGTGCCATTCGAAGCAATTATATCGAATCGCCTTTAAAACATTAGCTCCCATAGAACAAATTATCTTAAGACTTTTTTGGGAAATAATCTTTTAAAAGACTATACTTAAGTACTTAGTTTAACGTTATCTGTACAAAACATCGCAAAATTTGACCTATATTTAACTTAGACCCCCGTCCGAAAGTGCTACTTGATCTTGGGTAAGGTAAATTTAACGCCTTTTAAAACGAATGTTAAAAGAACAAAGAGATGGCAAAACGCGATGCCACACCTTTCTCCCACTACAATTAGCACTTGAAGACGGAACGTGCTTTGAGCCGGTCGTACGTACTTTTATCTGAAGGACTTGACCGGATATCCGGAGCCTTATTGCAACCCCCCCGCCTGCGTTTTCCTATTATCTAACTAATTTTCAATACGATTCTTCTACTACACGAAACTCTTATTGGCTAACCGCTGATCTATTGGACTAAGACTGTTCACGTTAACATGACAATCAGATATTACCTAGAGTATTGTATAGACATGAATACGTAGCTACAAGAAGAGACTAATGCACTTGTATGGAATTATTAAAGGTCCCAGGTAAACGTATGTTGACATTGTTGTCCATAATTCATATTAGTAAAAGATTTATACCACAGTATTAGAATTATTATACATATTAAAATACGCACAGTATTAAGTTAAACACAAATTTAAAAATAATGAAATACTGTTTGTATTTACTGCAGTAACACTAAATGTGATTTTTAATTCACAACTTTAACAATAAGTCCATTATTACGTTTAATACATATATATTAACAATATACACATACACATACGTGACTCCTGGGACTTAAGTCATTCATTCTCATTCGTTAATGATTTGAGGATCATCATTACTTATAAATTCGCTATTTAATTAGCTCTTTCATTATTTTTATCACAATTAACTTGAAATTGCTCGAGACGCAAAAATATGCGTTTTGATCAAATTAATATACTGCTTCGGGTCTATGGTCAATCGACGAATGTAATTTACAACATCACACTGAGTATTTTGCTACGGCGTAGAACGTAGTATTTTCGTAGCAATGGATTTATCAATCAAACGAATTTTACCACAACATTAAGAATATACCATAATTATGGCAGCATTTAACGTGCGTCAGTGCAAAGACCAAATCTTTTCCATTTCTCAAACAAATACTACTCACGAAGGTTGCATTACCTAGGTGTCTTTAACATGACTTTATTTGTAAGTATTAAATATTTGCAACGCGATTATAAGACCATTCGTAGCCAATCGCCGATCGACCAAGACTCTCGGCAGTTAGAAGCCGACATCAAACACGGCTGGGCCTGTCTGTCAACGCTAGCCTCAAGACAGCGACCTCTGTATGTCAGGCGGCCGTTAAGGTATGAGGGGGTGCGGGGGCGGGGTGGGGTGGTGCGGGTGGAGGGCTCTCAATAGCCCCACAAGCCTTTAATTCCGTGAACACCTCGGTGAAGAAACCCGGCTCGGAATTGATTCTTAACATGTTAAAAGACAGTCTATCGACGATTAAGAGGCAGCGGTCCCAGAATTTATCTTTGGAGTCCTCGACGAGGAAAGGTTTGAGGGGGTAGGAGATCTCGTTGCCCATGTAGGAGTATGAGAGGTAGAGACATGTCAAGACGACGGCTTGGAGCTCCTGTGGCCGAGCTATCCTCTCCCCGTCGACTAATTCCCGGACCAGCATGTAGACGAAGACCACATTAGCTGGGTTGATGAAGGCCACGTCCTGAAATCAGAAAATGTTTGTTATTAATTTACGTTGATGAAAGAATCGTGAATTGACAATATTTTAATGAGAGATAAATTTCGTAACGGAATAAATATATTTCATAATACTCTACTCCCCTGCCATTGTGTCCAGGGACTTTTTCTATCACTTAATTTTTTTTTACTAAAGTGATACAATATATTAATTACAATCAACTAGTCGGAATAAATATATTAGTCATGTGCTCTTAAAACCCCTTCATAAATAAATAAGGTAAATATAAAATGTCTGTTTAAAAAAAACATTCTAATTGACAGTCTGTGTTCACCCATGATGGAATTTAAGCCCTGTACTCCTAGTACGAAAATAACTAATAAAATTTGAATATTTTCTGAGAAGGATAGCACTAGGTTATATCTATATAAATAAATCAATGAATCGCCGGTTATGTTGCTTAGCGCAAAATTCAAAGACGGCTGGCATTTCGAGTATTTTTCCAAAATTCTGAGAAAGGTTTTTTATGGAGAGAAAATTTGCAAAATAGTAAAAAAGTTAGTTTTATTTAGTTCTTAGGTTTTTATTCCGAAAAGCTAACAGTCAAAATGTGCCTTAAGTAGGCTAAATAAAAGAGGCGAAACAATTTTTGTAGTCTCTGCATTGATATACAAAAACCCAAGATGCACAGTCTCATATAAAATAACACTAAATCCCAAACAATATTTCTGTCCATAACAGTATATTTACAAGCATATATTATTGCAAAATCAACCTTACCGAATTGCTTAAAGTTGTTATTACAACCAGCGTATACGTACTTAAAGCAATAAAATTTTACGACCGACCTGGTGGTAGGACAAGTATTGAGTGGAGTCGAACATGACTTTTTATTTACAACTATTTAACATAATTTTAAATTTATCCGACTTTTGGGTGCTTTACACGTGAGTGGTCACGGTACTGAAGACAAAAGTTTGGATTTAAATATTGTCAATTTATAATAATACATAACTTTAATCCGTTAAAAGTTTTTAAATAAAAAAATGTTAAATTGGCTACCTCCTGACCCACACTTTATATAGCTAAATATATTTGTCAAAAACTACACACAAAGAAGTTCAAGAGTACATAAATTTATTTATAAAAAAAACACAAATAAATAACATCGACTCCACTTGTAGACGCGAGACTATTTGAAATGAGCGCACAATTTAGAATGTTGCGCTCATTTTTTGAGGACGTTTTTTGACGTTGAGTGTGATGGTTTTTGTATATAATGATTTGGCAGAAGTCTAGTAGATCGCTGTGGAACATCACTATGTCTATTAATTTTTTTTTAATATTATTATTTTGTGTGTTGCCTTAGTAATACATGTTATGTTTATGTCATGTCTGTGTTATTATAAAATATGCTAATAAAACAATTGTTTTTGCTTATATCCCTATATCGACAAACAATCATTTGACACTCCGTAACCTAATACACAAGAGTCTCTAAAACTAAGTATAATATTGCAAAGAGGGTTGATATTGATATTGAGGAAATATGAGACAATAAAAGGTATTTTACTCTTAATCCTCGTGAAAAACATTTCTACATTAGCTATACTAACCTTTTAAAAATGTTTAAAAAAGTTATAAGTGATGTATTACGTAAATCAACGAGCATAGGTTAACACTTAACGGATTGTTTCTTGTTCTACAATAGTCTAAGTTTTGCTATTTATTGGTGTCTATTATAATTAGTTATTTTATTCTTTAAATATTCTAGTTAGAAGCTTAGATTTTCTCATTTCTTATGTCTGTTTTATTTTGTGTGTGATTTGTCTCCTACGTTAAATAAAGGCAACAATATGTTAATAAATATATATTATACCTAATTTTGTAATAATGAAATCAAATCTTCATAATTAATACTATTTGAAAATATAAAAATTTATTTTAGTTATATTAAAAAAAGCAAGACAAGATCGAGAAAATCTTCTCTGCCTTTTGTCTCAATTAACCTAGAACTAGGCATTAAATATAAGTGAAACCTCAAAGTAAGCAGTTAGGAAACATTTAAAAACCCTATTCTATTTATTAGGCGTTACGTACTCAGTCCTAATTGTAGTGATTAAGTAAAGGTTTATATAAAGTATACCAAAAATAAAATTGGCAATTAAATCAATAATTCTATGGAAAAAAAAATAAAGCAATTAGTAAAAGCTAGGGCGGCCGCATAGCAGCGGAAAATAAATAACGGATCAAAAATATGAGTCTTTCCTCCAACTTCGATTTTGTTCCCTTTGGAGACTCTTGGGCCGTGACGTTTAAGTGCACAGGCGCTAATTAAAGATTTAAGTTGGCCTGGTAGATAGAACCGGTGCTATCCTCGCTCAACGAATAAGTACCTATCGCAATACAGGCTTTTAATATTTGTTTTAATTTTCTTTTTTTTTTGTTATTATTACTATTTGTAATTAACTACAATACAATATATATTAGAAAACCTATTATTTGATAAAGTTCACGTGTTTGTAAGTAGATCACATTATTCATTTATTAAGAATTATTATGCGAATAGCTTCTACGAATTAATACATTCTAATGTAGGGCAACGTTCTAATTGTTTCAGTTTTTATGTCCGCAACGTGTATAAAATCGTTAAAATTCATTAATTTTATTAAATATATTATTTAATTATATACATAGGTATAATAACGTGTATAAAGTACAGTGTTATGTATGTAACGTATATACAAAGTGTTACACAAGGATACGTCTACCGTCAGGTTTTTTTTTTTCACCGTCAGGTCATGTATTCGTAACCCTGGCTGTGGCTCTTTGGCAATTGAATATAATCAATTTATTAGTGTAGCATCATAGTACAGATACATAGTCAGTGTGCACTTGCTTAATGGGTATTACATACTGCTGATAACCTTGGTATATACCTACAAATATTGCCAATATAACAGATACAGAAATCTGAAGGAATACTAATATCGGATGGTATCATATGATTCCGTAATAAGAAAAATTATTAGTATTTTTCGAACATTCCTAAATTAATTAGTTAATTGGTAATAAATGGGTGTTATGAAAAACTTTAATTCAATTGTTTTTTTATCATTATTTTTTTTAAACAAACAGTTGCAAGTCTAGTTCAGTATTAATCTTTAGGATTTTTACAGTATTTCTTGAATTTTAGTCACACCCATAAGTATTCTATCTTTTTATGGCCTCATAGACTAATTCGCGACAGTTATACAATCACAAGACATTTCATAATCTGTGAGAAACACCCACGCATATTCTCACAAATACTGCTGACTGTTTAGCTCCAAGTCTCAAATAGTCTTGGGCTAACCATTGTAACCGTTGCAGTTTTAATTATATATTTTTCAAAACGCACCAGCGCGACCTCGTCTTTCGACTAGATTTTAAATGAAATCACAACAAACATTCCCTCTCTATCCAAGACAGTCTGTCCCTTTCTAAACAAACCCTTATTCATGAAGCGAGACGTTATTGATTGGGACGTGTAGCGACCTCTTCATACATATTGAATGAACCTTGGCGAGACCCAAGTCTTGTAAAAGATGGCCAGAGACAATCTTGAGATAATCAGGGCAGCGAGGTTATTACAATGTATTAAGTTTTACCTTAGATCTAATAGTTTGGTATATCAATCAATATTATGTAAATTCGTTCAATTATCGAACCGATGGCGATTCATATTTGATCGTCTTCTGTGGCTAACCTTAAATGACTGATACGTGCATAACTAAGGCCCTGAAGTAGAAATAATACTTCTACAATCCGTCAGGTTTATAAGTTTTGAAGTCGCTTAGTCATTAATTGAAAAAGGAAATTAAATATAATATCATTTTTACATGTATTTAGTCATTTTAAACAATTTTAATTGTTGTGTTGCGTGAACATCATTATATAAATTGTAAATTAGTTCGACTTCCTGGTGGACAGAACTTAGCATACTTTGTGTTTCTACCACAATGCTATAGTATATATACTATAAAAGCCCTTTTTTAAATTATATACAATAATGCTTACATGGTGAATACCATGAAAGTGGATAAAGCGAGAGAGGAATGTCAGGACCGTAGCAGTGGAGATCCATGGTCTTTGCCTACCCCTTGGGCAAAAGACTTAATAATACAAATAAATAGATAATAAACGTAATTATAACGGCAATGAAAATCGTGGTTATTTCTTTCTTTTAAAGTTTCATTATATTCAAATAGATACATGGTTAAAACTTAATAAAAAATATCTTAAAAGTTATATGAATGTATTTTTATTTTATTTATCTATTACAAGTCAGTAGTTAATAATTTGTATTTTGTCAATCCGATAGAGAAAAATCACCGCAAAACTTAAAACATACTGAGATAACACTTTGAGCTATTTATAAATAAATATAATTTAAAATAATCTAATATTAAAATCCTAACAATTTTGTTATAGAGGTCTTCAGAGAAAAAATAAACAAACCATGACCGTGATCAGTTTGGACACGTGGAATTAAAATAACTCTTCTAATTTAAGCGTATTTTATTTGGAATCTATCCCAATCATTAATCTATCATAGGTATTTTTGTTATTGCAATAACCTCCTATCATTGAGTGTGACGAGAAATCTATTTTTATTAATATAATATTACGAAATCACGAACCAAAGAAGCGTTTAAAAATAGAACAATTACTTTCCACAGTAGTTTGAGGGTGTTCAGTTTAGAAGTCAGTATCACCTACTTCATCTATCTAATATAATATCTAAAACGGGCCGATGGCTGGCCATGCGTCATACTCGTGAACGGATGCTACTTGTGGTGACTGGTCGTAATTGAATTCGTGTGTGCGGTGATGTTAGTTATTTCGACTATGTATTTGCGTGTTGTTCCCTCGAGAATGTACGTGCTCCTATTTCACCATGCCTCCTGCTGATAGACGACAAATCTTTGTTTTTAATTTATTTTATTATTATTTATTACTTAAGATGTCATGTGGAACATGGTGTAATGGTTGCAGCTCCTTACAAACGTCTTGTAAAACTAAAAACTTGGCGATTAACAAGAGTGGCGGAGAGTTTAATGCCAGTTCTTCTCTTCCGTTCTACGCCCTTGATTTGAAAACTAGTAGTAAATGTAAAATTAGAAGCATTTATGTATACTTCTTTTTTGACGTTCATAAGTGTACATTGTGCTACCTATATGAATAAATGATTTTTGACTTTGTCTTTGAATATAAATAAGGAAAGTCTCTTTAGCTTTGAAGTAAGTAGCCTTGGACACCATGGCCTCCATTGACAAAAGAGTGCAGGTTTTTATCGCCACGCCGCGCACAACGGCAGTATACGCCACTATCTTGCCTCCGTCAATGTTCCAGCTATTTTAAAGCCTGGCATCGCTAAGGTAGGCTGCAGGATGGTATGTGGAATTAAATGCTACTTTTGTGGACTCGTGAGCCTCACCTCCCTCAGAGAAGTAGAGTAGACTACTAAAATTAACGGTTGAAATAATGTCCTCTCCAACATTTATTTCGTTCCCTTTGGAGTAGAGACTCTTCTGCCGTGGGGTTCAAGTGCAAAGGCGCTAATTAAAGATTTAAGTTGGCGTCTGGTAGATATTGCCGGTGGCCCAAGAGCTTTCATCGCTCAACTAATAAGTATCTCAATACTGCGATGAAATGCCGCCAGCATTAAGGGTACACTGCCACAGGGACCAAACTTATTAAATTCATTTTACTTTTTTACGTTACGTTACGTACTTGGTTAAGAATATTGTAAATAGGCAAATTTATATATATTCAGTGCATTCCTCTCATTATACGTGTACCGTCGTAGTTTTTTTTCATAACAAGTTGTAGGTTCTCATAGGATTAAGTCTAGCAAAAGGTTCTCGAAAAATTTCTTTTGGGTTGGAGGGGAATGATACTACTTTGCCAAACATTTTTGGGTGTGTAACATTGATATTAATTTTTGGGGTACGGTGAGTAATCTCTTTTTCCAGAATGTGTGCGCAGACAGAAGACATTAGTGCACTTTCTTTTTCTATAAAACTATCAGGCAAGCTGCAGCTGTTTCATCAAGAATTCAAGCCAGTATTCTTTTACGAGTTAAGAGACACTAATCACTTCGATTTCATAATATTTTTGTTCGCAATTATGTAAAATCTCTACTTTGTTTAGAGGGTAGGTTTACGCTTAACCTACTTCCAGTTAAAGAGCTCCGACCTCATTTTCTAAAAATACTCCTGTAATTATTTTTAAGTCTGTAGTTTAAATTATAGTCTTAAAGGAAGTAAATAACTGCAAACTGCAAAATATTGACAACTTATGGCGAGGAAATTGTAAAGTGTTTATGAATTTACATGGTTTTTTTTTAAATTCGCGGACGCCTAGCGGACACGAGCGATTTCTTCGATACAAATATTGTTATCGGAATTTATGTGCGATATTGCGGCCTACTCGATTGCGATGGCGTTGCATGGAACTGAGCTTAGCGCTGCGCCTGATTCGTAAGTTCTCATGTCATCATAATAATGTAATGTAACGCGTCACGTTGTTTGTCAGCTATAGACTCCTAAACTACAAAACCGATTTCAATGAAATTTGCACACCGTGTGCAGTTTGATCTAACTTAAAAGGATAGCTTACATCTCAATTTATACCCGCAATATTACTTCATTGCAAAATATTTGTTTATTATTTGATAAACAACGTAAAGTACCAACGTTTCACATAAGCTACAATTTAATGGCATAACCATCAAAAAAGCATGGTGGTCCCCATGACTGGTGTTCTCCTACCGTTTCCCTTGAATAGTTTACTACTATTAACTAAAAACCTTAGCCACAGCAACGCTTAGCCGGTCTGCTAGTATTTCATAATAGTTTGAATAAAATAAAACAAAAAAGTTCTCTGTTGATCATATCTCAAGGCTCTTAGGTACAATGCCAGCAGCGACCCCTGGCGGTCCTTCGAGTAGTAAAACAAAACAAGCCCAGACAAGCTTCATATATTTTAGGGAATTTCTTAATGAATCGTTAATAACTTTCAGGACTAACCTTAATTGCTGATATACAGTAAATATTAAATTGAAATTAAGATTTTTAAAATTATTTAGTGTACTTATAAATTTGGCTAATTAATTAAGAGAAACCCACTAACGCGGTGTACATTGGCTAACATTACTTGTATATGAACTATCAGTATCTTAGTTTTTCATAATCTATTTATTATTAACATTTATCTAAAATATAAATTGAATGCAATATAAAACTGTTTCGTAATAAAAACTTACTTTTGAATTACATATTCTAATATATTTCTACGTCGTCTGTATTACGTTAAGTGCAACGGGCAGAAATAAACAAACTAGAAACTCACAATAAAATTAATAACATTTTTAAATTTATTCTCTCGTCTTTGCTCAAGAGTTATAAGGCTTTTGTTTGTTTACTCCAATGAATGGGGGAGCGAAGAACAAAAGAAAATTGAAAAATCAATACGTAACTTTGCTTGAATATAATCTAGCTACGGATTAGGGAAAATAGACGATCTTTTTCTTTACATACAACGTTGTTATGTACTTTTTATCGAACTAGTGACTCATTCTGCGGTAAACTAGACATCTAACGCACATTTCGATTATTGACGATACAATGCGTGCGCATTACCTGCCAGCCTTGGAGTAGCAATGAACGGTCCACCGTCCGAAGCCACATCACAGCATCCCCCGCTTGGAAGTCCCTTAGCCGGTGACATCGGGAATGGAGAAACATCCCCAGGCACTTGAGCAATTCTGAGGTAGACGCTTGTATCACCGTCTTCCTCGGCGCCACCACCGGGGCAGTCCCGACGGCAGTTGTGGGCAACTTCTCCGTGTAACATACGTTATTGTTGAGGGCATTGGTCCGCGCTACCTCCGTCGGCGGGGGCACCACGGGGGCCCGCGTGTATATTGCGCCCCCGACGCTGACATTCTTATTCCTATCGAGCGGCACATTGTCAGTCAGCGGCGCTCTGAACGTCGTCACGCTCTTGCTCTTGCATTCCAACTTCTTCTTGTTGTTGTTGGCGGTGGAGAATCTCTTCCACGAGAGTGCATTGATGAACAGCGAGTGTTTCTTGAGGTTTTTCTCGAGGGCCGTTTTCTCGGAAATGATTTTGGCGGCATCGTCGAGAGTAGCTCGCCGTTCGTCGCGCGTGAGGTCGCGGTTTTCCCTGTTCTTCGCGTTGTTGAGTCTTTCGTAGGAGTAGGCTAGGGCGGCACGGTCAGGCGGCGGCGCGGCGGTGGGCGGGCGCCGCTCTCGCGGGCTGAAGCTCAGCACGGTGCCCATGAGGCCCGCGCGCGTTGTCCCGCTAAGTTCCCGCATGCATCGCGTGTAAGGCGCGCGGTGGCGGCGGCCAGTATGCGGGTTCGATAGTCCCGCGCCTGCGTGGAGCCTCCCGGGGCCTATCGACCGCGGCGCGCGCACCCAGCTGACCGACACGCCACTAGGGGTGCACGATAACGATAACTGTTGCAATTTGCATTTCACCCCTAGATTCTTGTGTCTTGAGTTAAAGAAGTTTTTTTATATCAATGCACCAGCGCGATCCATAGAACGAGAAAACTAGGCAGAGAATTACAAAAAAATACCAGCTAAAAATAATAATAACACCATATTAGATAATTTTTTACTATATTTAAATATTTTATTATAAATAAAGAAGGTAAAAATTAACCATTTCATCGAAATTAAAAATCCAATCCGTACAAAGCCGACACTAACCACGCTAGCCCCACCCTGATAAACAACATCCCCACTTGGTCACGGAATTACTGATCACAAATCTTAATTAACTGCCTATCTCGTACCGATCTGTGTCCAATATAAACAAAGGTGTGCTAAATGTGCTTACAACAACAAAATGGCCACAAATTTTGAAAAAAAAGCTCATCTGGGCCCTTCTTGCCAATAAATAAATAATAAAAGCCTTTAATTCTGTAAATATGCCTAATGTTATATAATATTTAGTCCCTCATCTATAATATCTGTCGGCAAACGGTTGTTTATTTATTTACAGCCAGTCCTTCGACAAAGGCCACCTCAAAATTTTCCAATCTAGGCGTTCTCTAGCGGTTCTTATCGACATTGGACCCGCTATTTTTTTTATATCGTCTCATCTTCTTATCTGCCTGCCTGAGAGATATGGTAGATTAGAGATCCAAAATTCAACTTTAAAACTATAAGGGTAGTACAAGTAGGCGATCAAAATATAACAATAAGATTTACTTAGCAAAAGTTCGACAGACCTATACCTATTGTAGTGGTTGCTTAGTGACCATAATTTTGTAAAAAGCTAATAACTTTTGATTTAACACAAAGTTCTCTTAATGGGCATGACCCATGAGACAAACTTCTAGGTTTCCACTCTAGGGTAGACTACAGACTGACGAGACTGTCTGGCTGCCGTACATCAAACATTTATTGGAGTTGGACATACGTATGAATGGGAATCTTAGTTTTAGTTAATAGTTTCTGAATTTCACCTTAGGTCTGTTTCACTTGAACAAACTTTCAACGGCAGCGACACAGAAATTGCAATCGAACCCAAGATACGAAACTAAATCAGGTTCTACCACTGAGCTGTTATTGATATATACCCGTAGATGAACATATGAAGTTTTAAGAAGTTATACTTCTTTTGGCGATGTAGAATAAAGCGAAAGATAAAATTTTTGAAAATATATTTATCTTGTTACGCCAAAGAAGTAAAACTTCTAACGCGTGTACTTCTTCTGGAGGCTCACGTTAAGTGATACCGCCCATGTACACTCACATTGCCAGAAGGCTCGCAATCGCTCTTTCGGCCATTTAAGAATTGGTACTCTCTTTTCTTGATGGATCCTAAGTCGAATTGGTTCGGAAATACTTCAGTGGGCAGCTGGTTCCACACTTAACACTAGACGACGGACGTCCGTCCTTGTAGTTCCCAAATCTGCGAGCATTACATAATAATGCGGTAACCAGCTGGCTCGATTTTCCCTATAATTGAAACTCCAGTTATTTTCCCGGTTTTTCTGCGTCAAAAATCAACCTAAATCCGCAGTGGCTGACCTGAATACAATTTTCATTACGCCGTTATCATGAAAAAAACTCGTCATATTCCCATTGACACCTAGCTTTTATTCAAACTGAAAATTGGATAGCTTTTGCACTTGTAAACATATCAATACAAAAAGCTTTGCATGCCCTCAACACTGAGTTCATACATTCAAATCGCGCCAATGGGCGTTTTGTGTCAACGTACGCTATTAACACTTGTTAGTAAGGACTTTGCTTAGACAGGACCGCGTTAACTTAAACCCAAAAATCCAACATGTATAAAAAATACAAACTAAGGAAACTGATGAATTAAAAATTCAAAATCATTTATTCATTTAGGTAACACAATGTATACTTATGAACGTCAATAAAGAAATACATATTAAATGCTTCTAATTCTACATTTACTGCCAGTCCTCAAATCAAGGGCGTAGAACGGACGAGAAGAACTGGGAATAAACTCTCCGAATCTGGAGTCAAGATCAATATAGAATTGTAGCGCCACTGGATTATTATTATTAAGTAGTCAATCACGGTACAGCACAGATTCGTGATTCAGTGATTTTCCTCTTTAGTCCTATTATATATTATTTTCAAAACGACAAAGGTGGACTTTAAAGACAACTGTATGGAAAGGACCCAGGGGAAGAAGGAGAAAAGGGCGCCCCAAAAAGGTGGATAGAAGAAATAGAAGCTGTAGCAGGAAGCGTATGGAGAAAGAAAGCCATAGAAAAAGCTGGAGGAAGCCTTTTCCCGTGAAGGGGTTCCGATCGACGGTACTGAAGGTAGCTAGGATGTGGGATAAAAATCTAAGATGTATATTTTTTTGTCATGATTGGAAATTGAACGGGCTTTTTATTATTATTATCAAAGGTGTTTGAGTCCATGCAGTGGTGATGCAACTACAATATCATTATTCTTCATACCTACTAGGTGTCCTTATTTAAAACAAACTGAAAAAAGGAACCCACGACCAAGTTATTTAATTTTTGGATACGATAAACTCGCAATTTAACTCGTATATTTTTTTCTGTGTTAGAACAACCAATCGTGTGGAATAATACAATAGTTTTTGAGAAACAAATGCTGCTACAACCAAAATACTACGCATTAACGTTCGTAACGCATTAAATCTCTTGTGTAATTTGTTAATTATTACAGAAACCAGAAAGATAACGAACATAACATAATAATAATAAATACAGATTTTTTCCAATGTTTATACACAATTTAGATTTGTTTAATATTTTTTCTTGTTACTCGATTCGAAATTCCATCAGTACCTACCATTGATCGGTGGCTTCCTGCAACCTAAACTATCATACTGTATAATTAATATTAAATCCCACAGATCCCTTCACTATCACAACATTCCGAATATCTACAAATATATTTGCGCCCCCAATTTGTTTCACCCCTTCAATACCTAGTTATAGTTATAATTCAAAATTGACTCTTGTTTTGCTGTTTTAAAAAGGGAAACATTATTTTATTAACATTTATCGAGGTGCAAATAAACCTGCAATTCTGCATGTTTATTAAATATTGAAGATCACCGTAAACATTTCTTAAAGCATGCACAAAACTTATGTTTACGCAAGAAGACAATACACGGATTTTGCGAGAGTAAAATAAAAGACGAAACTATGCTGAGTTTCGTTTGATTGTCAAGTGGAAAAACGTGTCTCAAAAAAAAAATTAAAATCATTTATTGCACACGTCAAACGTCAAAAAATAAATATATATATGAAATGCTTCTAATTTTACATTTACTGCCAGTTCTCAAATCAAGGGCGTAGAACGGAAGAAAAGAACTGACAATAAACTGTGTTTCTGTTGGTGTGTCTGTATTAGAGACACCGTCGACAAATCACAATCAATCGAAATATGCCATTATTATGTCTATCGCTTTACCGTGATCATGCATCCGTAAGGTTGGTACAGTTTTAAGATTATTTGTCCATGCACAAACACCCATGAAATTATTAGGCGCCTGAAAGTGACCCCAGAGCTGGGGGCTTTACTCGCGCATCGTATCAACATCGCAATATTTTAAAGTTATCATTGTTTTATTTTTATACAAAATAAACAACTTGGTTTAATTATCTTGTAATTAACAAACGTTATTAATTGGTTCAAAGCTAAAATTAATTATTATAAAGACAACTTCTAATTAAAATTGTAATTAAACACCTCTTCGTTAAAATGTTTAATGTTAATATGTTTCGAAATATGCAGATATAAATGTAAAATATAAATTATCTGTGGCGGGTGAGCAAACGTCGGCTCCTATTTGCCATTTCACCCCATTTCGCCGGCGACACCCCTTTATCTGAACGGCTTTGATGTGAACCGACACTCAATAATTGGACGGGAATAGACATGAGTTTTCTGCGGTTTTCATTGACTTTGGTATTTAATTATTGGGGTTTTCTTTAATAAAATAAATTATTTGGCACCTCAGGAAATTAACATAGTCGTTTCCAGTTTTTTAGGAAAATTGTTCCAGGATGATAGGAAAAAAAAATTTGTTTCTAAAAAATATCTATGTAACTACAGAGCATTGCTTACCTCATGGCTTGAACGTGGGACTCTAACCCCCTAAGGTCGTAGGTACAAACCCCGGCTATGCACTTATGGACTTGTTGTGTGACATTTAACACTCAAACTCAAAATATCTTTATTCATATAGGTAAACAAGTACACTTATGAACGTCAAAAAAGTTCAGTTCGCAAGTCAAGCGCGTAGAGCGGGCAAGAAGAACTGGCAAGAAACTCTTTTTAATCGCTAAGGTATGAGTCATACAAATTGTTTGAACTGGAGCAAATCAATCCCAAGAATTAGGATCATTTAAGTATTCGTCAAATTTATAAAAAAAAAATTAATTAAAGTTTAACTCTCGTATAGTGAAGGAACCACTAACGTGAGGAAGTCATCATGATACCCAAAAAGTTGACGGCAACAGCTCGAGACACAAGGCTGATCACCTAGAGCCTTCTATGCCTGTGTCTCGGTTCGCCTGAGGCCTGCGGTCTGCCTTCCTGCCAGATACAGAACAGAACAACACAATTGTAAAGAAAAACGTTTTACCGGATTAAAGTTATGTATTATTATAAATTTACAATTATTTAACATAATTTTAAATTTATCCTACATTTCGCGTGCTTTACAGCGTGCGTGGTCACGGTGACCGTGTATTTAATCCGGTAAAAAGTTTTTTCTTTAAATGTGTAAAGGTTATGTTAATCAAAACAGACTAAACACAGTTGTACACAAACATAAACAGTTGTAGCGCCATAGATTTTTTAATTTTAAATTTTTCGGGCTTATATTTATAATTTTTGTATTATAAAAAACAGCTATATCAGTACATAGCTTTATACACTATTATTACTCAGGCACTCTACCTGTTCTCTAATGAGATTGGTGATCATGACCTAAAAATCGTAGGATGCACTTTTGCATTATACGAGCTCAAGTAACTGCAGTACAGAATTAGGATTAACTATTTTTTATTTTGAGAATTAGGGAACATTATATTTACATTACATTAATATTCGCATTATTTATCTTCATAATATTGATTGAAAGTGACAACTACATAATAATTATATAAGTGAGGTTAATAAGTTTTATATCAGTTCCCTTCAACTTCGACCTTATTCCGTATAATGATTATGATTGTATATTTATACTAGTTGTCCCCGCGAATTTCGTTTCTCCTTAAAGTGATGTTACTAAAAAGGTAGTTAGCCTACCTTTTTAGTACATGCCAACATGGAACATTTTTCTATGCTACCCCAGAGACTGTTCGGTTTTCTGGAATGAAAACTTTTTAAGTTTTTCTGTGAATTTTTCTCTATATAAACCTCAGAGTTCAAGTCATAAGATTTTAATTAACAAATGAAAAGTAGTGGTTAATCGTAGAGGGTAGATGAAAATTAAGGGTTGTATGTATTTTTGTATGCTGTGTCATAAAAAAATAAAAAAACAAAAAATTTTGTCTAAAAAATTAAAAATATTTTTTGGGGTGGACAGTGGACACTCCTTATAGTTTAAAAATAGATAGTAGCCGATTCTCAGTCTTACTGACTATGCATAAAAAAATTTATAAGAATTGGTCGAGCCGCTTCGGAGGAGAATGGGAACGAACATTGTGACACGATAATTTTATATATTAGATTTTATACCGAATCGAGTCGTTTTCTTTATTCATTTTTTTAGACCCATAGACACCCATTTTATTGGGTGGCCGGCCTTTAAGGGAAGAGTATACTCTTTTTTTAAACAATTGAGGTCGTATCTTCCAGGGATTTCCCCACCAGCAGTACATTCCACAGTTCACTAGTTCGCAAAAGAAAATTTCATGTGACCGGACCATGGAAGACTTCAGCCTTGCGATTCTGTAACTCACTTTTCGAACTCACACAGCGATTTTCGCATCGGCGGTCGCTCTCAAATCAGTCGTGAAGCAGTCATTTTATGATTTGGCATTCTGATAAGGCTTGTAGTTTATTGTTTATCATCAAGGTGATGTGGATGAAATGTTGAGTTAATACGGCTCGTACTGTGTAGAAACGGAAAAGTGAACAACCCAAACAACTCTTCAGAACACACAATGAGATGAGACGTGAAAATTTGTCTTGATTAATGAAAATAAATTTTCATTTATACATTATTAATCATATCATTTATAGTCGATTCTTATATTATTTTATCACTACATTATTAAATTAATATTAATTATAATGTTTAACTCAAATAATCATTAATAGATTTTGTTTTACAAAAGTAGTTTATTTAGTAAATTAAAAAACTCTAGTAGGAAGATATTTGAATGTTTTTGGAAAATTATTATGAAGTAAGTGTTCTTCATGCCATAATTTATCTGGAATTGTATACAATTTATTATGGCATAGCAAATTACTCCCCAATTCAACTTCGGCAGTTGTCCATTCTAATTGACTTAAAAATATTTGTTTTTGTGAACGAATAAGGATATTTCTATAATAATACCCTAATAATTGTGGTTTATATAATAAAAACCCAATCTTGCTATATATAGCATAGCTACAATCGTACATATTTATTATTTATGAAAAACCTACTTTTCCCACGCCTAACATTGCTGTGCACAATTTTAAATTATTGTATAATACAGACAGAACCAAGAAGAGAACATAAGAGACAAAAGGCTTTGCGCCTGCATGGAATGCTTCAGGACTATAATGGAAAATACCTCTTTCGCGGCTTTGAAGTTCTTAATTGTAGTTAATTCTATGTCGTAAAAATTGTTAGGTCAAATAAAACTCGTCATAATAAAACAAAAAAGTTTTTTACAAATTCATCTATCATCAATGTATTATAAATAAATAAGTGTATTTTATCAATAATGTCAATAAATTATGGTATACTGATAACACAGAATTTACAATACTAAAATCGATGAAATAAAAAGATCCTAGAATTGTGTTTCTAAAAACCTAGATATGTAATAAAGTAATAATCATAATTAATTGTCTCTTTTGTTGGACCTATGTCCCCAATTTGAGTGCTTTGAAGCCTGGAGGACCGGGCACTACCTTCTTACGCTAGAATTCCTAATTCAAATAGCGAAAATCTTTGAATTTCTAATGATGTTTAAATATTAAAAGGGGAAAAAATCACGCAGTAGCATCGCCCGCTCACCCTAATGAGTTTATCGGAAGCCTCAACAGTACAATGTAGGAACATAAGCCACAGTTTATATTTATTTATACCACTCAGTCGGGATTTTATGATACTGACTTGTATGATTGATATACATGTATATAATATGTGTTAATACCATCTGTAATTAAGCTCAAAGCTAACGCAAATGGCATACAATGCGGAATCTATTTCTGAGCCAATCGTAAAACCCGAAAGGGCATAAAACTGATCACCTACCTGTCCATAAAACAATGAACCATCATACTTAATGTTTAAATTTATTAACCTTATTTCGGTAAGAAATAATGGCAAACGCAATTAATTGAATATTTATATTTACTATACATTCTGAGTCTTTCATTCTACAATAAATCATTATATTTCAGTTAATTTATATTAAATTATTAAATACTTTATCGGGAAACTCCTTACAGCATTTCATATCCATACATTAGGACACGTTAGGATTATTATTAAAACGATACTAAATCGAAACTACACGAAACTATTGAATATCGTGACATTTCCCGCCAATACGATGAATGTCAATGCCACTTTCAAAATGTATTTTCTCTATGGAAGGGCTAGATCATGTGTAGATACAGATAGTCGATAGTAGCTTTTACAGCTATATATAAAAGGATTATAGAGTTTTACTTGAAACTGGGATAAAGTTAAAACTATTGCCATAATATTAAAAAAAAATACAGAGTACATTTTTAATTAATTACCCCATATCCCTAGAGTCTTATTATAATTTTCAGTGTAAATTCGAATTTAAAAGTATCAGTAATAAAAACAATAATATGAAAAGAAGTAAATAAGACTAATAACAATATTGATTAGAATAAAATCTAAGGTATTTTCTCTAGAAATAAGACAAATTGATATTTCAATACATACTAATGTAGTCCAAACAGACGAATCAAGCGATTAGACCCAGACAGATCATTTTGAAGGGTGAGGGACTATAGGGTGAAAATATTTAAAAAATCATTGTGTACCCTATATTATTATAAATAAGATTCAATTTAGTGTATCCTAAATATGACGTATTGCAATAACTTAACACAGGGCAATGAACTATGCCAAAATGTGGACATACTCAAGAAATTGCATTCCAGCGTAGTATAATTACAACATTCCTCTTTTGGCTATGTAGAGATTGTATAGCTAAGATATTGAGGTTTATCAGATATAATCTAAAACTAAAACAGAATGTAGATCTCAATACTTTGTGAAACCAAAGACAAGTTACTTACTATTTTGGTTAAACTATGGAAAATGTAAGCAACAAATTAGATTTTCGTTGTTTACGAACCTTTATATGTTAAATCGAAAAATTATACCAATGCTAATATAAAGCTTTTTTCCTTGTCACTCATATTTGACCTTGCTAAACCCTTGGTATAAAGGTTTTGTTTTTCTGCGTTTAATTATGCGCTTGTCGTCTGCGTAGGTATATTATTTAGCACATTATCGAAAAAAACCTGTTAGATATTCTAGAAACGAAACATTTTAAAAATTGAAAAAGAAACCTCTACATACATTACGAATTATTTATTATTTTCTTTACATTGATTCACGTCAGTCTGGCGGTGTCGGTAAATGATCTTAAAAGACGCCACCTACCGGAATCTAAGCTGAAACTAAACAAACAAAAGTAGCGGAAGCAGTGTTGGCCATGTTACAACCACACACACAAACCCGCCATGTCCCATTTCGGTTACGGCAATTATACATAAAAATAACAATATAAAGAACACATCGTTATATCGCAGACGCGTGCGTCACACGTTTAAAAATATAATGTAGGGTGGCAAAAATACAAACAAAAATTATTTCAATTTTTTTATTAGCAGTCATGTAATAATACATTCTCGGAACAATTTAACGCAAATATCTTATAAGGCAATACATTTATTTTAATATCCTTATGAAATATCATATCATTATTAAAATACGAAATACTTTTAAACTTGTAAATTAATTTGTGTTCAAATCGTCAATGGTTTTTGGTAATAACATCGATATGGTAAATTTATACGAAAAATTTCAGCACCTTATTAGTGTTGCGTCAAACGCACTTTGCACAAAACACACTACACTCATGACCCTTTGTTTTTCTTATTTAAAACGCATTCAGCCATTCCATAAAGAATATCTATTTTTTTAAATTGTGGCTTTTATATTTTATACTTTTTTTTTGCAAAGGGCTGCGTTTTTAAAACGCATTCACAAAACCGTAGTTATAACATGGTCCTTAAAAATCCTAAAAATACATAAAATCTATGCTTAAGTCAAAATTCAAATCAGTCGAGAAAATGCTATATTTGTGAATTTTATCACCCTGCCCGTCAACTATCCATAGAGGTACAAATGTTTGAAGCTCTATCGAAGTATTATCTTTAAAATTATATACTCAACATTTATAAGGTGACTAGAGATTTGCGATTTTTTGACTTAGCTCTAATATAAAAAAATAAGCCTACGCGACAATACAATTCTGTGTCATTATTTCCCGCCACAGATCGTTTCGCACAAGTTGAATAACCTTAACCTATTTAGAGATCCATAGAGAATGTCTCCTGTGATTCGTCAAAGGAGATGGAATTCGAGCGAGGCTTATGAGAAGACGTCTGTAGGTGGGCAATAGGTCCCGAAGGATTCTTCAGCATCGAGACTGGCAGTGCACATTTCGGTGGTGTTTTTGAGATCGGTGACTGACTCAGTGACATCATAAACGATCTCTCATATACAATCCTGGTACCTGAAATGAAAAACAAAATGAACAATCCCACAAACAAAAAACAATACCTTTTGGTGCCCTTTTTATAAATAATAATTCATTTAATAAACATTGAATTCTAAAGTAGACAGAAGATATAAATAATTTAGCAGATCAAATTTTATTGCTTATTTGAAATGCACATAATTATAAACCAAACTCATTCGATAATAGACTTCGACTCTCGAATGTAAACAAGCGTTTATGACCTTGAGTCTGACGCAATTTTTTGTAATAAAATTTATAAATATACTGATTCCTTACATCGGATTTTTGCAAAATCTTACAAACGAAATATATGAGGGATATCTAATGATATCGAGTAGATAAAGCTGTCTTCACGTGTTACAGAGAAGAGATAAGAAAATAAATGACCTTGTTTTCTTATCTCAAGTAGAACTAGATAGTATGAATAATATTATCATTGTTTATTTTAGGTTATATAACTATACGATTAACGTTTTTATATTTGGCTGAGAACTAAGAACGCCGTATGTCTGTTTTCGAAATGTTTTTGTAAATGTGTAAAATTTCGATTGCATAGTTTAAGTAATCGTTTAAATAGTATTTATTTAGTAATAAATCTTTAATACATTTATATTAAAGACATAACGATTTAACAAATGTCGAAACTTAAGTCATCACTTTTTTTATAACAACTCGTAATATACAATTACTTTTATCTTTACTATAAAGTTCTATATTTTTTAGATGTGAGACAAATTGTAGCGTCCACGCGGTAACCGGTCATGTCTAAATTTACTATTACCTTCAATTAAATGTAATTAAGCCAAGTAGCTGTAACGTACAATTTACTATGGAGTAGCTCATACCATTTTAAGGTACTAAATTAAATTTGACCAATTGAATCAGTGAAGTGTGTAATAACACATTTAACTTCTGTATGCACTTTACACCTGTGTTATAGACTATTTTTTTAAATAATCGGCCTAAAATTCAATATGATTGATAAAAAATAATGAATAAACAAATATGTATATATCAGTAGAAGTAAGAAGTAAGAAAACCACTGAACGACAACAGAATTTTGTTCTTTTTACTTATTAAATGTCACATGTTTTTATTAAATGTTAGTTTTAGGTTAGAATATCTTGAGTTGTTTATCAATATCGCATGCTATATTACGTAACAAAAACAATGTGCTTTGCACGTGCCTAATATGTTTTTCTAGTTTCTTATTTATGTTATTAAGTGTCAATTTCACGTGAATATTTATGTGTCATATATGACACCAGACACATAAACATCCGGCACTTTAAAACATCGAACGCGTGTGGGGAAAATATTTTTTTTTCTGCCAACCGGCGAATTTAAATGGATTATTAACAAGCTTTTATTCATTAAGTTGCGAATGATTCCGTGGGTCCAGCCCCAAGAATCTCTTATAAACGTAAGACTTATAAAACTTGAAGTAAACAATTACCTCCAGGTGTTGTAGAGTATATGGTGCCTCCAGGAGTGCTGGAGTAGACATCTGGCATTTGCGAAGGATCCGTTATATGGACACGCCTAGTCGGGATCGTCTGGCTATGCGTCGCCCTTGCAATTGGTGATGCGGACATAATTTTCTCTAATCACAACACACACTTGTTAAATTCAAGAAACACTGAGCCGAGTTCAACCGGCGACTAAAATAAATACGCTAGCTCCGAGCCACTCACACGATAAACCGATAACGTAAACACACAACGCACACATTGATCATGTGTATCGAAGTGTTCAAAGAATAACATGTTTTTCTAATGGTGTAAAAAAAAATAGTGTCATGCATTTTTTGTCTAAACGATTATAATGACTAACATTCAATTGTACTAATTATTTGGTTTTTGGGTAATAGCAAGATGTGGAATGTAGTAGGTATTGCGCAGTGCAGATAAACAGGTTCATAGATTTTACATTTCGGTAATCTAATGTAGGTGGTTCCAAGGAAAACAATAATATTATTTCAAACTAAAATTATTGGACTACATTCTATTGCGCATTTGTGAATACGATGTGTCTATTTTAGCGTTATATTTATGTTAAAACTATTATATTGTTTCTATTCTCCAAAATTTATATCAATACAAGTAGTGTTTGCGATAACCAAAAGATAATTTAAAAAATACAAATTAAACCTCACGGTCCACGTTACATTTTCGACAAAAAGTAAAAAATATTGACTCTACCATAATCGATTACCTGACATGTTTACATCACGTACTAATCTTTGCCAACATTACTCACACACGTACAAAAGTTAATGCGTAGTAGTTTTATTTTATAATATTATGGTGACATAATTTACATCCAACCTGATCACAAGTTAGATAAACACATTTTATTAATAATTTAGATATGGAAACGGTAGTTCAAAACAATAGATTTGGTTAAATTAGTAGCACATTTTTTTTCTTTCTTATTTCGTAACTTCTATATTTTTATTTACCATTTCTTATGTAATAGGAGGCAAACGGGTAGGAGGATCACCTGTTGTTAAGTGATACCGCCGCCCATGGACACTTATATCTAGTCTAGTAATATAGATTATTAGAGAATAGTAATTCAACGATATTATTTGTCTATGACTACCCAGTTGTATAATACAATATTTCTCAAGAATAAATAGCGTTTCTTTTCTGTAGATGCTACTGAGCTGATAGTAAAAAATGGGCAATTTAAAACTTTATTAAAAAGTTATATAATATTTTGTTTTCGAAATATTTGTAAAAGAAAAACAAATAACAGCACACAAACTCGCGATGTACGAGAATATTTATATTTTATCACCACGTGTTATCAACCGGTTTTAAAGATGAAACAGCCTTGATCTTTAACGACATAGCAACGGGCATATTCGGTTAGTGTGTCAATAATGCTCCTGTCAACGTGTGTTTTTAATAAGAATATTTAATATTAGTTGTGTGTCTATGTTTGGTTAATATACTAATAATTAGTAAAAAAAAATAAGTACAAAAAAAATACGTTTTTCCAAATTTATTACATATGTATATACAAAATTTTAAAATACAGAAAAATAATTAAACTATAATCATTAACAATTGAAGTTAACAAGCAAATATTGGAATAATAATAGAATATTGGTTAATAATAGTTTCTTAAGTCGTAACAAAAAGTTGCCGCCCGAACAGGGACTTGAACCCTGGACCCTTGGATTAAAAGTCCAATGCTCTACCGACTGAGCTATCCGGGCAATGATGATCAACGTGAATAATTGCAACGTTTTCGGGCGTGCCTTTTATACCTGAGTTTTTTTCTAACGTAGCATTTGTTTTTACTTCGTTTTTTATATTCATTTTTGTGTTATTTTTCACATGGTTGACGTCGTTTCTACTTAACATAAGACATATTTTTTTCCGTATACCTGCATTTTTGTTCGCCTTCTGCTCTAGAATTGTTTATGTTAATTGAGAGAATATTTGGTATTCTATTCACAACTTTCAATACACACATTTATGTGTCTGGTCTTGAAATGAATAGGTATATTCAAGACCTCATACACGACTTGCCGAATACTCCTTTATCACGAAAGGATTTACACTCAAATAAATCAGCATAGTATGAATCCAAGTTCTTCATATGAGCCAAATAGAGACCATATAGCCCTGAAATGGTACCCAGGAAACCAAAAACCTCATTAAATGCAACTGCTGTATCTAAAGTTTCAAAAGACTCCAAAATAAGGTGCATCTGGTAAGATGTCAAATTACACTCCGTCGCGGATTTTGCAGGAAATATATGCTAGAAAAAGTTGGCTAGTTAAGAAAAGCTAACCATGAGGATAACTGACGCGGATGTGGATAAAACTTTTATGATGAGAGAGAGGCTAATTGTGATTTAAAAATAAGTTTTTTCGTTAAAATTGTTCCTATTTAGCCTCATATCCTCAAAGTTAATTGTTCAAAGTTTTATTTTTGTACTAATGTGCGACAGGTATTTTAATAGCGTTTTAGATGACTACGGCCCCCAGAATTACCCTATTACGGTACTATTCGGTATTCGGCCTATTCGGCTACGTTACCAAGTACATATTCGGTCGAGTGCCAACGGTCAAGAAAGTTTAAATAATATTATTTTATCTTAAGCAAAGGTCGTGGGTAAACAATCAACATCTGTCACTTTTATTTCGCACAATTTACACACACACATTTACATCATCATGAGATTTAAGACATCAACCAATGTGAATTATGTAAATATTTCACACTGGTTTAACACCACTATGTGCTGAAGTACCCCAAATACAAGAGATAAACTTCAACTAAATGTTTCTAGTAAAAAGAAGCAAAATATGCATTCAATTTTTATACTATTCCGGAGTTCAACTAACTATAACCCGCAATTGCTTTTCGCATTTAAACCAACCCTACCAGGATCTTAACCTTTTAACAAACTCCGTTATTTAAATGAAAGTATACGACATAGGTTACGTTTCCTAATATTCGGTAAGGTGCAAAATATTCGGTATTCGGCGATTAAATTCTTCCTTCCAACAAGAAACAATGGATGAATAATAAAACTAAAGCTATAATAGAATGTTATGGAATGAAATAATATAGTTTATCATTTATTTATTCCATAACAATAAGTCGATCATTAAAAATAATAATTTTTATACATTAGTCACGTGACACAAACGGTCACAGATGAGTCGAATCATGCCATAGGGAATGGTGCGACGCCATCTTGTCTAGAGAAGAGGATTATTGTGTAGTTTCTATAATCATAAATAAATAATCTGAAATAGTTTTTAAAATCTTGTCTATCCATTCATATATTGCCATAAATAAAACTGAAAACCTTTACACACACTGTGTACTACCACTGCACGTGCACGTATGGCGAAAAAAGTCTAATCTTAAAATATTTCCAGTCCTTTACCATAACCACTTTATAAAAGCAAGATGCTCTTAAAAATTATTTTAAATAAACTTATGTTATTATTTACTATAAACCTGTGTTAAAATACGCTCTTGGCTTCGCTCTAGGCTTGTTCAGTGATCATTACGAACAAATAAATAATAGTTTAAAAAAACTAAAAAACACGCTTTTAAAGCACATCAAACTAAAAAGTGAAAAATAATTACTAATTTAGGCTGAAAATGGTAATGAACAAAAAATACTGGTATTATTGTGAAAAAGCGTGGGGCGCTCTGTGCCATATATTATTATTATACAACTATTATTATTTTTTATTTTTTAGTTTATTTTTTTCATTTTTTTTTCGGATTATTGCATTGTCATCGATCTTTGACAGGTGCGCAAAGTTTGAATTAAATCTGTCCGTTAAAAGTGGGTCAAAATCGAGTCCGAAGGAGTCGGCTACATACATACATACATACATACATACAGGTGAAGCTAATATAAAGCGTGTAAAAAAATCCAAATGTTATCAGAGATTATCAATCAAAAGATGAAGTGACATAAACAAAGTTTATCTTTGAGTTCCGAATAGTCATACATATTTTGAATGTTGTAAGCATAGCTAGAATAAATTGTTAAAGTTATACGAGATCCGATAAATAATATACCTACCCATATAAGGGTAACATTCCCAGACCTAGGCGCTCTTACTCAAAGGAATATTATGATCGTAAACCCCGTAATTCAATGAAAAGAACCTTCGAGAAATGAAAGTAATTAAAGAAAATCATATCCTTCGAGAGTAATAGATTATAACAATTATCACTTTACTTGAAAAGTGTTCTTAAAAAGTAAGAACATACCATATTTGAGGTAAAGTACGATGAACTGGGATTAGTAGATATTATTTATTATTTAGACTTCGTTCATTTATACAATAACATACTTATAAAAAAGCAGGTTACATAATTTATTACGCAACGGGCGGCCTTATCGCTAACAAGCGATTTCTTCCAGGCAACCCTAGTAAAGTGCAAGAAGTGCATAAATAATTAACAAAAAATAACTATATCTAAAATAAAGTAAAATTTAAAAAAATATAGATAATAATATAAACAAAAATGTAAAAGCTAATCTATATCATTCACCCTATATTGATTCACAATTAATATATATGAGTAGCTAATTACGAGGCAGAACATAAATGCTCAAAAAGAACAATTAATTACTTTGTTATCTTAATGAGAGGCCAAACGCTATCAACGCTAGATCCAACTGCACTCACAGTGAAGCCACAATTATTAAACTTCTATCTATCTATACGCCTTTTTTTCCGAAACCTATACGTTGCGATGGTTATGAATTTCTATTACTTCCTTGGCCCAAATGATGGACAAAATAATTGCTGTGAGAAGTATATATATATTCAATAGAAATCCATTGTTATTTTCACTCTTTAAGCAATCATTGTTCAGTATCAGCCAAGCGGTTAAGCGCTCAATATGAGATTGGAGTATTATAAGTTTCCATTTTTATGGACGATAAAGCTCGCCCGCACTTATCTGGCGACATGCAAGGAATCCGTTTAGATTGACCAATTCGAACTCCTGACTTCAATCCAATAGAGCATGTCTAGTATGTTCTAGATAAGTTACATGGGACATGTGCTTCGTCACGAACGGTACCGACTTCTTCAAGT